GATTTTCAAAGAATTAATGCATAACACAATTTTGGTAGAGGGCTCAATGCTTATTACAATCATGACAACAGTTTGACTGCTTGATGGCCAGGAGTAAAGAAGAAGATTTTTAAAGACTGGTGGCTGGCCCCACCCCTCAATCCCCAGAGGAATAGGGACAAAGAAATTCAAATTTTTGTTCCCCTTCAACCATACATGCTATATGCCAAAATTAGTTGAAATTTGTTCAGTGGTTTTGTTGAAGAAGCTGAAAATGTTCAAATGTTAACCCACGATGACAGACAAAAACCAATAGCAATTGGTCACCTGAGCAACTCAGGTGACCTAAAAAGACCAAAGGCCCATGGGCCACATAGCTCACCTGCGTACTGTGGCTAGGAAAAAAGCAAAAATCATTTCAGTATTGTACTATTTGAACAAAATCATTGTGGCCCCACCCTGCCCCGGGGGGTCATTATTTGAACAAACTTGAATTTACACTATCTGAGGATGCTTCCATATAAATATGACCAATCCTGGCTTTGCCGCTCTTGTTGAGAAGATTTTTAAAGATTTTTCCTATATACTCCTATGTAAAACTTTGATCATCAATTGTGGCCCTATCCTACCTGTACCGTCTTGTAAGCCGGAGTTTTTTCTTCTGGTCACTTTTGTTTTTCTTTTTTGTTTACACTTGTTACTTCTGTGCATTGCGTGCAGCACGAGATATTTTCTTGTCACTTGACACTTGAACAGTCATACTGTTATTACAGTTTTTTACTCTGCCCACAATGTAAGTATTTCATATATTTATCTTCTTACAGTTACAGTCGCACCTGCTGTTACGGCCACCCTTAATAAGCGGCCACTCCCCATGAGCGGCCAGTTTCAATCCCGCCCGTTCATTTTTTCACTATATTTTAACTCATTTAAGCTACCACCTGTCTAACGCGGCCAGTGTTTTTAAGTCTCATGCTCTCAACATGCCTGTTTTTAACGGCCATTTTGTCTGTTTTGTCACATGACTTCCGTCTGACGTGACCCCGTAGCCCCATAGAGAAGCCAAACATAAACAGCTGATAATGAGTAATGACGAAGAATTGTGGGTGTAATTTTAATTTTGCCAGGATTCAATGAGATAATTTTTATTTTTAACGACTGTTTTGTTGTTCTTTATATACAAAAGTAAGATGTAGAATATGTTCATGATATAAACTCAATACATAAATTACGATTTCGCCCGAGGTTATCAAGTGGCCAGTCTTGCGCTATAGCCCTAGAATGTTTACATGTACACTAAGACCTGCTTTTTTTATGACGTATTCTGAGTAAAAATCAAGCATTGTACATGTATTAAAAAGTAAATGAAATGGAAAGCAGGAAGAGGTCAGTCCTCTCCTTTAAAGATAAGGCCAAATCCATTGAGCTTAGTAAACAAGGCTTGTCTTCACGAGAGATATCGGAGACTTTAAAGTGTGAAATATTGTAAACTCTATGGCTGTTACCAACACAAAACAAAAAACAATAACAGATTTTTTTCAGAAATCATGTAAAATGAAATGTAAAATAAAAAGGATTTCATGTGACTTACAACTTAGGGTGAGTTAACCATGCATCGGACACATACCTTGCTTCGGACAACTTTCAGCAATAAACTTTCATTGAACCCGAGTCTCCCCGTGTTTTTACTTGTTTCTGTCTTAAAGGTAAAGATACAAACTTTTTAATGATGCCGATTTTTATTTCCATGTTGTGATAAAAATACCACAAGAATGGCCTTGAAATTACGTCATATTTTGCATCATCAAAGGGGAGTAACCAGAATTTTACGATTTTGCAATTTTTAGAGTTGTCGCTCTTTTAAATAGACTTCAACGGAACGAGTCGGACCTAGGTAAAATTTATCATTGATTGATAATTTTACAGAAATTTTTCAAAAATTTTACTTCAATGTTTGTAAAATAATTTTTAGAGTTGTCTTTTACTAGTATGTTTATTTCACCGTACATCGGACACAAATTAACCATGCATCGGACACTTTCCGATGCATGGGTAATCACTTCCATTTTCATGTAAAACCCAAATGACAGCTGTTTTTTACGGAAATAGAAAATAGAAACTCTAAATTTTCAGTGAAAATACAAATTATCTATATATGACCACTAGAAGTGGACTCAATTTACTTCTTTAAACTAGATGATTTTAACCCACGAGACAAAGGCGCGAGTTGCCATATTACTAGCATTGTAAAGCCTTTCTAAGGCGATGTGATGCAACTAAAATCTCTTCATATTTGTGGATCGAAATAGTCATTCAAATTTAATTAGAAGTTTAATTTTTTAATAAAAGATAAAAATGTTTCGATATCAGTAATTTTAAAGCACCGAGATCAAGGTATGATATTTTTCTGGTATAAATATCGTATGTCCGATGCATGGTGAATATTGTCCGATCCATGGTGAATTCTGACTTATTTCGAAAAAATCGGTTTTTAATGATATTTTCTCAATAAATAGGGCACGAATTTGTCAAAAATTTATAATTTAACCACATACTACATGTTAAGTTCCATTTTGATAATATTCGGTCGGTAGCGAAATCGAGAGAACTTGTTGAAGTGCAAGGGTGTCCGATGCATGGTGAATTCACCCTACTAATTATTTAAATGTGTTGAAATTGTGGAGTTGGATATGTTTTAAAATGAATATACAACTGTACTCGCAAAATTTTGTTCATTGGTTTGAAACCTGGAATGAGAGGCCACCTGTCTTAAGTGGCCAATTTTTCATTCTCCCACAATTGGCCTCTTAAAACAGGTCTGACTGTACTTGTTTTATGCTTATGAATTTTCGGCTATGAATTTCTTTATTTTCTTCTTTACCTACATGTATGTGAAATTTGACTGTTAAATTTTTACCAGGAATTCAGAGTAGCTAAATTTGTCATTTCTATTGTCCATGTTTGCTGATATTTGCAGTGTTTCTACTTACATAATGCTAATTTACACATATATCTCAGTATTGTGTTCTATTACTTATGAATATAGGATTTTTTCAGATTTTTCATAAATTTCTTCATTGTACATAACATTTGTTATTATTTTGTCTATTGTAGCTTTACCTGTACGTATTATCGCATTATTGAATTATGGAGTTTTCAATAAAAGATAAAACGGTTTAACTGGCTGTATTTTATGGAGGCAGCATAGTGAAAGATATGGATCTCCTGGGTGATAGAATCATGTTTGAAATCTAGACTGCAAACTTTAACAGATTTCACAGATCACAAGAAGCTGTATGAACTACATGACCTACTTTTTGAGGTACTAGCCGTGAAAGGTATTCCAGAATACAGTGTGATGTTTTCTTACCTTGATTCATCTCTTGGCAGGGCTCGACATTAACTTTTTTTCCTACTTGTCCATTCGGACGAGTGACCAAGACATTTACTTGTCCGAACTTCAACTTCACTTGTCCGAAAAAATTTCAATAAATATCTAATACTGTCAACTGGAAAACTAAAATAAAATCCATTACACATGACATGTGCTTGATTGATTCGTGATGTTATTTGATAAATACAACAAACACATAAAACGAAATTTTATCTACCGGGGTAGTCTTTCTGGTCTGACAACAACATAAATGTCCAGAAGTGAACCAAACTTCGTTAAGTTCGTAAGTTCCATGCCTTTTCAGTAGTATGCAATTAGTGAACTTCGATCCCGATCGAATGTGAACTCAATTAATAGCAATCGCTATCGGGATCGAAGTCCGGTTTTTATGTACAACTTCCGTCTTGAAACTACCGATTAACTTTCAACAGTCTTTTTTTTTTAATTATTTAGAGACTCCTTTATATTAAAATGCACTTGTCCAATCGGACAAGTGCCCAGCAATATTCACTTGTCCGTAATTTTTTTTCACTGGTACCGGACAAGCCGACAAGTGTTAATGTCGAGCCCTGCTTGGATTGAAATCTATAGTTCAACGACTTCCTCGATATCTCCAAGAGAAGTGGATTAATCGTGTGGTTCATTACAAGAAAGAACAATGACCTAGTTTTCAGTTGACGTTTTTGAGGACCCAAGATGCAGCAACTTACAAAGTTTTATGATCAATGGCCTTAAAATGTCCAAAATATACCTCTAAAATGCTTTGAACTCGAATGCCTGCAAAGTTCAAAAAGTAGGTCACTGTGACCGTCTTTTTAATAAATATGTTTTATAGACCCAAGATGCATCACCTTACAAGATTTAATGATTCTAATCATCTTACAAGATGACCTACTTTTTAGTTGACATACTCCGAGGACCCAAGATGCATCAACTGACAAAGTTTGATGAACATAGGCCTTAAATTGTTCAAAATATGCCTCTAAATCATTTTGAAAAAGAATGGCCACAAAATTTAAAAAGTAGGTCACCTTGACCTACTTTTGAGTCAACGATACGAGGTCCTTAGATGCATCAACTGAAAAGATTTGATGATCCTAGTCCTTACAGTAAGCAAAATATCAACATTTTAATCAAATGTAATTTTTGGTCAAATTTGAAGTGACGTTGAGACCACGCCCTTTGCCCCAGGGTGATGCCTTGAACAATTTTTAATCTTCAAAATATCCTCATCCTTTTGTGTAAGTTTGGTGATAATCTGCCCAGTGGTTCTTGAGAAGATTTTTTAGCAACCAGTAGTTTTGGTTTTATTTACCTAATTATCTCCTCTTGTTTAAGGGTCACAACCCTAGTTTTCGTATAAATGGGAGCCCTTGGGCCAAGGAAACCCCGCGACAAATTTGACAATAATTGGCCAAGGGGTTATGGCCCATATTCTCAGTTTACACACACCACACACCACACAAATGGCCATAGCATTAGCTCTTTGAGCCTTTGGCTCAGAAGAGCTAAAAATTCATATGCACATTGTGTGAATCATAGCATAAAAAATTCCATTAAAAAAATAATCATTTAATATAAAGTTGTTATTATTTTTGTTTAAAATATGCATTTAACCTTCTCATACCTTTTAGTACAGGTCTATGTGCCATCCACAAGCTGATTGTGCTTAAGTAGTGTTTCTTTAGAATGTCTGTTGAACAGCAGTTTGACAAGTCCACAGTATTCACAGTTCCAGAATTCATCATCAGTTCATCTAACACCTCTGTAGGAATAGTCATATTAATGCAGAAAGGATAAATATCACACCTAAGAGACTGTAGCTCTACTGGTTTGTACTAATAATAAACAATGAGAAACTTGCAACCCTTTCTTATTACTTTATTATTTAGAGAATTATATCTTTAGGCTAATGTTTTCTTAACCAATTTACCAATTCAGTAGGAGGAATGCCATATTTAAAAGAAATTCAGATCATAAGCTTTAAGTAGTCAAAAATTTTGAATGGATATACAGAATTATGAGCCTTGGTATAGTTTATCTGTGTTCCAAAATTTTTTGAAATCAGACAAAAGCTGTAGGAGGGGTAGCATTTGAAAGAATTCCCTTGTATTACTCTACCCTCAAAACCACATAACAATGCATCATTAATCTAAAACACATATACACAAAATGTCTATTTGGTGCATTTTGTTACTTATTTCAAATGAGGAGCAGATTTTAGAAGAAATTTATGCTTAGTCTAGTGATAAAATTCTTTTTTTTTTTTTTTTTTTGGTTTAGTCTACTTGAGTACCAAATTTTACTGAAAACCAAAAAAATTTCATTTTCAGTAAACCATGTTTTCACCTAATTTTTTACCTTGTGAAGTCTACTGGTTTACAAAGTTTTATTGAAATTGGACAAAAAAAGTAGAAGAAACAGCATTTTTTGGGCTTATAGACAAACAGATGATCAACACTTAACCAATGCATAATCTCTTCTAATCCTTGACTAAAAGAGCTAAATTATACTTACTTTTATTGAATAAATCCAAAATATTCTTGGAAATCTGAAATAAAATCAAAATATCACCTCTATAAAAGATATAAACACTTTTTTAGCATGTCTTACACAGAGCTTCTTTATCTTCACAACAGATGTCTCGGGAGAAAATGAATTTACCAAAAGCTGTCTGTCTCAGATGCTTTCTGTTTAATATATACATGTATATTAATCTGAGTCCCTAAAAAGTTGCAGAAGACATCAATTTTCTTTGGAATTTTCTTTCAGGCAATATAGACCACTTGCATACACTGTAGCCCACAAAGATTACGAGAAATAAGATTTCTTAAAGATTTTTACACAACATATTTGAAAATTTTGAAGTTGGAAATGGCTGTGGACACTATTTTCTTAAGTTTCCTTATTAAATGAGTCACTTTGAGGCCTTTTCTAGCTGTTTAAAACTTAGAAATGTACAAATTTTTTAAGCTGATGTCATATTTCCAGAAACGGTCCTCCTTCATGCCAATCAAATTCTTTCATGATTTATCACTTTTATTTATTCAATTATATTTAAGCAAATTCAAAACTTTTTGAAAACATCAAATTTTAGGGCATAATAAGCCAAAATTGTACCTTCTATGGGGCTTTAAAAAAATTCCATAGACTCTTGAGTATCCAATAAAACCTATTTAACAACTGATGTGCCCAAATCAACATTTTAATTGATGTTTCAAAAGAGTTTAATGAATAATCAAGAATGTTTTCAAAAAAAGGCACTGAAAAAAATCTGCAAACACTAATAACTTACACAACTTGACATACTTCAATTTCTTTATATTTTTTAAACAATTTGCACATTTCATTACATATTTCACAGCAATATTTGAAAACAAAGGAGTTCAATATGTTAATTTTGTTATTTATCCTTGATGCATAAATATCAATTTATTTCTCCATTAACAAAACTTGAAAGAGACAAATTAGCTGACATACATGTACAATTTAACTATTTTTTTTTTATTTGAAACAGATTTACTTTCAGTGCCTTACCAGCTACAAATCTTCCATTTCTGATTCATTAAAAAAAATTCATTGATTATAACATATCAAATATCATATTTAGATAAAAAGAAATTTTCATTAAAGTAATTTCAATCAATTACAAATTTACTTTTCCATGTTTACATTATATTTAGTTTGCTTACCTTTTTAAGTCTCGCAGCATCTTTGTCTTTCAGAGTAGATTGTGAATTCCTTATCATCAGAGATAAAATTTCTGTCAACACCAAACATCATTTGAAGAAAATCTGCAGTCTCTGATGAAACTCTACATCTTTATACAGTTAAACTCAGATAAAGCAAAGTCCTGGGGACTTGGACTTCGTTCTATCTTTTATTTGTTATATCTGTTTAACAAACAAGATACAAGTATATGAAGTAAATTTGCAATTTACAAAATGTACCTTGGAGAACTAAAATGTTGAATTAAATTTCAAATATAGATACTTACAAAAAAATAATGTCAGTTAAATATTTTCAAATTTGAGATTTTAAAATATTTGTTATAAAAGATGTAAATTTCATGATTTTTAACCAGGAACACAAAATCAATTCTCCGACTTTATCAGTTCATTCCTTATATCTGAGTTCATCATAACCATAACATTTAACAAGAAATTGTTCAGAATTTTGCTGAGGATCAAATAAAACTTTGCTATATCGGTAAATTTGTTGTTTCTCGATCCATTTGTACGAAACAGGTTTTACTGTATGCCTAACGATCGGAAACTGTAGCTCTTCCAATTTAAATTACAGTCAAACATTATCTCAAACTCATTGACACTGGGAAAAAAAATCAAAATATGTAAGGATTCAAGATATAAACCATTAAATACGAGGGGTTATCAAAAAGTTCGTGGACTGATGCGATAAAATTAATACTATGTAGCTTGTGCTTACAAAATTTATAAGGAACGTAAATCAACAAAAGTTTAAGAAATGTTGAAAATTTTAGCTTGATACGTTGACAATTTGCCAAATTATTCTAAAATTAAAAAGACATTATATGATCATCCGGCGCTGTCGCCGTTTAGTTTCATGACGTCCGACAACGTCATTGTTTTTCAATGTCCGCTCTGTCTACCTAATACACTTATCTTGGTGTGATTACCTGGAGTTAAGTAAGGACTTAAGCCCGTCTTGTTTATATGACTTTACAATGTCATGAACAGCTGCTTTCAATGCATATAATATTGTAAATGAATCTATAATAGGGAAAGATCCTCACTTGGTTATGCCAGAATACTTCTAAAGCTTGTTGTTCATTTTTTACCACATATGATTAACGTCACTTTTCGACGAGACTGACTTTTGACACTCTGACTACAAATCGACATAAACTGTGCATTTTTCATCTCTCTGAATCTTTTTGGATATTTAAACGAGTACTCTGGATGCATTTTATTTTTCTGCAGCCCGTTCAAACATTCTATAGGTCTATACAAGTTTTTCCAGGTGCGAAACTTTATAGAATGTTGGAAAAAGAAACCTCTCCCCCCTTTTGACGTCATTTTCAAGCCCTTAATTGTTTGGACACTCCGTATAAAATTTACGATAAAAATTCATAGAATTTACAGAATGGGGTAAAAATTACAGATTTTATGGAACAATTGCGTTGTACCAAATGCCTGAATTTACGGGGTTTTTTGATGACAAATGCTTGAAAACAAGAGGTTTTTTTTCAGTTAAACTCCCGTAGAAAAAAATGTCATATTTGAGGTTGCGCCGCCTGGACATACCATTGCTTACAAAAACATTAACAATTTATCAAAAAATCTAACTTATGATTTATGGTTTATTCTACAGATAGAAAAGATGATGCTAACTAAATGTGTAAAAATTCATTGATGTACCTAAAGCGGTTTTAATTTTATGGCGCTAGTCCACGAACTTTTTGATAACCCCTCGTACATAAAGAAAAGTGTGTGGGACTTTCAAATCACTTTGACATATCCATGGTATTTGAAATACAGTTGAAATTCGGTATCTCGAACACCAACATCTTGAATACCATGGATTTGTTAAAGTGATTTAGTAGTCCCAACCATTTATTCCTTTAGTATTTTACCCTTGATATTTCAAATCCTCAGATATCTCGAAGTTTTTTCTCGGTCCCTTGGAGTTCGAGATAATGAGTCTTGACTGTATTGATGCTCCACAGATATTGAAGTTCAGCTTTATGATCTAAGTGAAAGGTTGGAACTTTCTGAGTTTTACATTAAAATTATTTATTTGATGTTTTACACACCTTACGTCGCAGGTTCGAATCCCACTGTGGGACACAGAGATCAGACCGATGTTAATTCTCTGGGAAAAAAAATCATATTAAAACTTTACCTAAAATCCACAGTTCTTCACTACAAGTGGTTAAGTCTGATATTAATTCACTGGAAAAGGCCTCAGCAAACTCTGGTGAGGAATATTTTCTGAAATGACATAAATCAGTGTGAAAATATAGGCATTACACACACCTCAGCAAAATAATGTTATCTCTATGTGAATTCAATGCTGCGTACCCATCTCAATTCAATACCTTAAATTTTATGATGTTAAATTTTGGCTGAAATCCCATGAAACTTATATTTGATCAAATCTAAATCCTTTAACTCAAAGTTTAACACCCCCCCCCCAAAATTTTTTTAAAAATTTGGAAAACAAGTTATGCATGGACAGATGTAGCAGCAATAAGGGCGATATAGTAAACCCTATGGTACTCTCAGATTTAATGGTGAGGTTCTTAAAGACAAACAATCAAAATTAAGCTTGACTACAAAGATGACCAAAACTATTGCACGTACTGATGCACTAAAAAATGTATATAAACCAACTGCTTTTATAGGTGAAAAAAAGAAGAAGAAAATTCACAAGCGTATACTTAAATATAAACAAGGAATTCATATCACAAAATGAAAACTGGGTATCAACATGATCAATTAACTGAAAATTCATTAAATCCCAGTAGTTACAACAATTTTTTTTTTCAATAAAGATTTCATTTTAATTAGGCAGGAAATAGTTAATTCAAAATTAAACCTACAAATGCTTTTCATATATTTTTATATGCCCGTGTTAAAACTCAATCATTAACAGCCTTTAATTAGTTTTCATTTTTCTGCTATCTGCAAACAAACAATACATGCAAAATTACTCCCAGAATACTTGTTCTACTAGAGGCTTGACTGGACAGAATTCTACTTACAAGGACATGTATGTATCTAAAGTCATGACGTCTTCCTTGTGGAGTATCCATATAAGAAAAACAGGCAGCAGCATCTACAAAACAAACATGAAAGTTAATTCAACAAAAAGAAGCCCATGGGTCATAATGCTCACCTGATTTCTCTTCCTTAAACCAAATGATGTAGATGATTAATAAAAAAACCCTTTTTTGTATCCATTAAGTTTATTTCATCAATTTTGTTTCATAGTATATTTAGTATTAATTGATATCCTGTTTACATATTGTAGCATTCTAGTTCTTGCTGAAGTCAATATATATCTAAGCAAAGCACTGATTTCTTATCATGGTGTCATCATTGCCCTGGGGGTCATGATTTGAACTAGCTGCAATAATGTAGCCCTCTCCGATTTTTTTAATCTGATATTTTCAGGAGAGGGCTACAATTCCACTGCATCTCCGTAATGGTGCAAATATATTTTTTAGATACGGGCGACTGCAGGCAAAATAAATTGTTTTTGCATTCAACTTACTTCCAATAAGACGGAATTTTTATTCACTATCAACATCATAGCCCTTTATGCGTGAAAACCAAGTAAAATAAATCTGCGTGTTTTCCAGTCGTTCACCTCAGCAGCCATGACAGTTCTCGCGTGATGTACTGAGACTTGCGCTTGAAATTTAGAATCACTTGATAATGGAAATGTCGGTGTTGATAAATGTTTGTGTTGTATGATATAACTAAACATCGATAAATAAAAGCATTCCACGTGATATTTTTATCATAGACAGTGATATTTATGCTTATAATAAGGGAAATCCATACAGATCCGCTCCCCTAGATCCCAAATTCTCATTGGTTGTCCCAAAATAAAATCGATCAAGGTCAGTAAACATGGCGGATAAATTCAAGTTGTGATGTTGACATACACGAAAAATAACCGATATACGGATTGTTCTGTATATTTTTGGATCAATTCAAGTCCTGCATAACTACATTTTATGAATTCAGGTAAGATATGTTAATAAAATACACACTTACTGATTATTTGAGCCGAAATCTGTGCGGTAGTGAATCACTCCCGCACTTGCACCATTACGGAGATCCTAAGGAGTTGTAGCCCTCTCCCAAAAAAAAAAAAATTGGAGAGGGCTACATTATTGCAGCTAGATTTGAACAAACTCGCATCTACACTTCATAGGGATATTAATATGATGAATTATAGTCCTGCTGTTCTTGGAGATCAAACACTGTTCATCAAAATCTTATTAGAGAATTGTGTATCTGGATATAGTCTACTTAACATGTATTAAATTTTACTGAAATTAGATCACACCTTTATAAGAGTTTAAATGATATTGTCTTTTAAATAAGGCCTAAGTGAAAAATATGTTTGTTTACCATTAATCAACCGACCCTTATTTTATGTGCTAAATCAAAATTTTTTCCTCGTTAAAATTGAAAACTGTATGTCAGTACCTCTTGACTTCCTTAAAAAGTAATGGTTTATAGGATGCAAGGTCACTTTTTTTGTAGCCATTTATAGAGCTGTCAAAAAGATTTTAAGGAAGATTTAATTTAAGGCTAGAGGAAGACAGCTTCAAACTGTATTTAAACTATAAATATGTCCATAGGACATGAATACCCCGCCGAGGATATATTAGTAATGCAACATGAAAATTTGTATTAGTGTATGAAATTTGATGAGAATATCTTGAATAGTTTCTCTAAAGTTGAAATTGAAATCTAAAAAGTTGGATATAAATGATAAATTCTCACCAAATTATGTATAAGTGCATAAGCTTACATAAATAATATATCTTAAATGGTTTCTTTAAAATTAAGCAAAATGCAAATTTAAGAAAAGTGAGGTCAAGGTCCCAGAAAAGTTCAAGGTCAAACGTTTTTGATGCAGTTGAATAGTTCTCATAAATACGTATCAGCATATTAAGTCTGATAAAAATATTTTGAATGATTTATTTAAAACTGAGCTAAACTTTGATGTAAAATAAATGAAGTTAAGGTCAAAGGAAAGGTCAAGGTCAAAAATGTTGATGCAGTTGAAAAGGTTACATCAGTCTGTATCAGTTTATAAAGTTTGATAAAAAAAAAAAATTTGAATGGTTTCTTTAAAACTGAGCTAAACACAAGATGAGAAAAGTGAGGTCAAGATCAAAGGAAAGATCAAGGTGAAAAAATATTGATGCAGTTGAATAGCTTACATCAGTATGTATCAGCATATGAAGTTTGACACTAATTTAAGAAAAGTGAGGTCAAAGTCAAGAGAAAGGTCAAAAATTGTTGATGCAGCTGAAAAGGTTACAAAGGTTACATCAGTCTGTATCAGTTTATAAAGTTTGATAAAAAAAAATTTGAATGGTTTCTTTAAAACTGAGCTAAACACAAGATGAGAAAAGTGAGGTCAAGATCAAAGTAAAGATCAAGGTGAAAAAATATTGATGCAGTTGAATAGCTTACATCAGTATGTATCAGCATATGAAGTTTGACACTAATTTAAGAAAAGTGAGGTCAAAGTCAAGAGAAAGGTCAAAAATTGTTGATGCAGCTGAAAAGATTACATCAGTATGCATTAGCATATGAAGTTTGATAAAAATATTATGAATGGTATCTTTAAAACTGAGCTAAACACTAATTTAACAAAAGTAAGGTCAAAGTAAAGGTCAAGGTCAAAAAATATTGATGCAGCTGAATAGCCCTCAGCAGTATGTATCAGCATATGAAGTTTGACACTAGTTTAAGAAAAGTGAGGTCAAGGTCAAAGGAAAGGTCAAGGTCAAAAAATAAGGTCAAAAAATATTGATGCAGTTAAATAGTTCTCATCAGTATGTATCAGTATATGAAGTTTGATAACAATATCCTGAATGGTATCTTTAAAACTGAGCTAAAAACTTATTTAAGAAAAGTGATGTCAAGGTCAAAGGAAATGTCAAGGTAAAAATGTTGATGCAGTTAAATAGCTCTCATCAGTATGTATCACAATATGAAGTTTGATAACACTATCCTGAATGGTATCTTTAAAACTGAGCTAAAAGCTTATTTAAGAAAAGTGAGGTCAAGGTCAAAGGAAAGGTCAAGGTAAAAATGTTGATGCAGTTAAATAGCTCTCATCAGTATGTATCAGCATATGAAGTTTGATAACACTATCTTGAATGGTATCTTTAAAACTGAGCTAAAAACTTGTATAAGAAAAGTGAGGTCAAGGTCAAAGGAAAGGTCAAGGTAAAAAAATATTGATGCAGTTGAATAGCTCTCATCAGTATGTATCAGCATATGAAGTTTGTTAAAAATATCTTGAATGGATTCATTAAAACTGAGCTAAACACTAATTTAAGAAAAGTGAGGTCAAGGTCAAGAGAAAGGTCAAGGTCAAAAAATATTGAAGCAGTTGATTAGCTTACATCAGTATGTATCAACATATGAAGTTTCATTACACTATCTTGAATGGTATCTTTAAAACTGAGCTAAACACTAATTTAAGAAAAGTGAGGTCAAGGTCGAGGGAAAGGTCAAGGTCAAAAAATGTTGATGCAGTTGCATAGCTCTCATCTATATCTATCAGCATATGAAGTTTGATAAAAATATTTTGGACAGTTTCTTTGAAACTGAGCTTTGAACAGAGCTAAACGCGAAGTGTGACAGAAGGACAGATGGAAGGACGGAGGGATGGACATGACAAACACTATATGTCCCGGCCATATTCATGGTGGGGCATAAAAATTTGATTTCAAATTTTTGCCTTTATGTAGAAACAAAAAACAAAATCCTACTGACCAGACTTTTTCATTTTAGCAAGTAATGCAGTCCCTGAAACATTCTTTTTTCCCATTTCCTTTTGAAGCATTTGTGCTCCATACACCTTCTGCGTTTGCTCATCATTTACAAAGCATACACCAAGTTGAGTTCAGCATTCACAGACTGTTAACTCACCGTTTGCTCAATGTTTGCCCACCATTTATTCAGTTTCGTTCAAAGTTTATATGGGAAAGAAGAATGTTTCAGGAATTGTAGGACATGCCATATTTTTCCAAACACAGATGAATGACTGACTTTTAATGATTGCATAAACTCTTCTGGTCATGATCAATACGGCAAAAATTGTAGAAATATCTTGATAGGGAATCAAAGATACATGTACATACAAGTATAAGTTTAAAGGGACAATAGTTTTATTTTACTCAAAATTTAAAGCTGAACACGATTCGTAAAAGGAATTTGCCCACCATATTCTTTCATTCTGTTGCTATATCTGAGGCCCCTATATAAGCCGTTCACTTAGTCATATTGTTCATTGTAATCAGTTTTCACATGCATACAAACAAATACAAATACACGTGAACTGCAATAATACTGTAAGACAACCAGCATGAACATGTTTCAACCATTCCAAGCAGGTACCCGTGGCAAGAAAGCAGACAGGTGTAACGAATGCAAAAAGTATACCCCAGTGCTGATATCAGAGGCAGGAAAACTAATATGCCATATTGCCTATTTCAAATCGTGTTCAGCTTTGACAACCTCAACATACACATACCTCATTACAAAATAGGTTCAGTAGTCTTGGTCTGTTAATACTATGTCTGTCTATCATTTCACGAACCATACGGATGAGACAAGTCAACTTCCCCTGTTATCAATAAATTACCATCACAAAAAATTCATCACAATGATCTAAAAGAATTAATAAATCTCATCAAACTATAGTTTTAAGTGACAGGGACCTGAACAATGCATCGCATTAAAATGAAAGACAGCTTTCTGTATACTAATACTTGCTAAAACAGAGAGAACAGATAAAAATGTAGAGGGCCACAAATTGAAAACACATACTTTTATCTCTTCATTGTGGCTCGAGTTCCTCTGCTTCTTGACCAAGCTCAAAATCGTGTTGACACAAGTCTCCAAGGTACTCAAGGCATTTGCTTCTGACTGACTCTTGGGGGAGACACATGATTCTAACACACCTAAGAAGGAAATGATGAGTAAATCTATTCATGTAGCAAGAAGCAAACTTTATGAAAAGTACAAATAGTTCCATCAAACAATCACTAAAATTGCCCCCTCCCGTACAAACTACGGTGTTCAAGCAACAAGTGTTGCTTGCAGCAACTCCAAATAAATATTAGAAATTCTTGATGGCTTCGACTTCGAACTCTCTCTGTCATTGATCTCTGCCTGTCTCTGGTCCCACTTTTTCTCTTAATTCTTGATTTCTCATACTCTCAATCCCTCAAAACCCTTGATCCCTCAAGGTCAAAATGCAGTCTCATAATGCATTTTCTATTGAAGTGGCTATGTGTACAGAAAAAGAAATCAAATTGGCATTTTTACCTGCTGGATATTCAAATGGCTCCAGGCATACACAAAAGACCCCTGTACCAGGGTTTGTTTATACAAGTGTCACCTATGTACTTTGATCCCCTATTGTGGCCCCACCCTAGCCCAGGGACTAATATGACTTGAAGTTTGATTGAAATTGCTTCCAGCTAGTCAATAAAGGTTAACCCTAACTTCATATTTTGCAAATGTGATACTGGACATTATGACTGAATTTTTTTATAAATACTAATCTATGACGAAAATCAATCGGCAAAACCAGAAGAAAGGTGGCAAGAGAGGTTTCAAATAAAAATTATAAAATGTTAAAGTTTTTATTCAAAATACAATCAATGGTTTTGCTGAATATATTGCTATACTTTGAAAATTACAATTTTAAAAATTGCAATAAAAACTATGTGGGACAACATTCCTCCTCCTGTTGGTATTTTCTACTAACTTTTCATTTAGTATATTATAAACAAATTTCAACAAAGTATTAATTCCTTTATACTTCAATGAAGAAATTTGATGATTTGATTTTTTATGCTATATTTTACATTCTGTCCTAGTAACATTTACTAGTGAATGTGAAATCTGCCATAAGTCTTTGGCTCAGGTGAGCTAATTAATGTTGGATTCTTATTTTTTGCTTTGTATTTTCTTTTTTTTTCCTAATTAATGTTGGATTCTGGTTTCCTGCTTTGCATTTTTATAAATTTTTATAAATTTTTTTTCAGAGAGAAAGGCACACAAAAAGCTCCTAAGTTTGTGCATCAGAGAACTTTGCAAAAGTTACTTTGGGTGGCAAAATTGAACGCAGTACCTTTCACATTTAGTTCTGAGGATGATAACAAGTCAGCAACCTGAAAGGAAATAAAAGAAACTAGAAAACTGACCAGTCAGCATTGGTAAAATGTGTAAATAAATGAGCAAGTTAACATTCATTTTTTTAAACATCAAATCATGATGTAAGCTAGCACATCTAACATATGAACTGAAAGCAAAAACCAGAATATATTTTGACCCCCAAAATTCTCTTTGACTCAAAAGTTTACTTCAAAGGGTCATAATGACCCGTGGTTTTCAAAATTAGCGGAAACACTGGGTATTTACCCCTCTAACCCATCTCCTCACCTGAATACATACAGAATCAAACTTGACATTAAAATATGTCTTGTTGCTTATAGAAACAACAAACCAAATCTGAATTTAATCGGATTATCTTTTTTTAAAAAGTTATTACAAAAAAACAGAAATTTGTGGATGGTCAGAATGACAGATGAACAGAGAGACAGTGTTTACTAAAGGGTACCCACACATTCTTGTGGGGCCCCAATAAACCAAAGAATTTACACACATTTTTGTGTCCAATCATTTCATGTTTTTCATACATTTCAATTATTCCCTTCTTTAACAATAAATAATTTAATTCTAGATATAACGTGGTATTTGATTGGATAAAAAACTTACTTTATATTGTATAAATTGGGTTGCCTAATCATCTTATTTTATTACACTAAATTAATGAAAATTAAATTATAAGGAATGAAATTAATAGCTACCCAATTTATACGGTATAAAGTGGGTTGGAACAGTTTACGCTTTTTTATAAACCGCTTCGCAGTTTATAAAGCATAAACTGCCCCTACATGTACCCACTTTATACCATATAAATTGGGTAGCTATTAAATTAATTCCTTAAATAACAAATTCTTCACTCACCTCAGTGACGGCTGCGGTGTTATTGTAGTGATAGGTAACCAACTGCAGTACAGCATTCTTCAGCTCTTCTCTACTCCTCTGTGACAAGACTTCAGTATTCTGCTCAGTGTCTAATATAAACATACATAAAATAAATAATTGTTAGAGACACTTCTCTTAGTTAAATGTAAATCATTAATTACCATTAAAGTTCAAATATTATTCAGCTGGAGAGAATACATCAGTATGTGTTGGGATGGGTATCGCCAAAATTTCTGTATTGCAATATATCACGAGTTTTCCAAAAAAAAAAAATCACTATCATAATATTATGAAATTTTACACAAATTTTTATTATTATTTAAAATAAATTTCCATAATTTTTCTTACAAATATATTCAGGGCTCTATTGGTGACTAATTTAGTCAAAAAAAAATTTTGATTGGTGCCTAATTATAAAATTTCTCTGTAAGTCGCCAAATTGGCGACCATTTTCAATTGACTTGGCGATCATCAAATTCCAGAACTGTAAACATTTTGAACATTTTTATTTATAAAAAAACAAAAACTAAATCATTTTTTAGCGATGGACATATCTTTTGTTTTCTTTGTCACCTTGTTTGTTTTCACAGTGCACATGCGAACGAAGAAGATGGGTAAACAAGGCGGGCAAAGTGCCTATAGTGTGACAAACAAGAAGTGAAAAATAAAATCTCAATTATATCAAAATTTTCTTTGATATTTCATCTAACATTAAAGTATACTTTATGTAAAATCTCTACAATTCAAGAATGAAATATTTGAAGCAGACTATTCCTGGAACTCTTCGGCGTTGGAGGTTTAAACGAATAGCTTATTGCTATGAAAAAATCAACAACTTGATTTTGGTTGGATTTAAACTCTTAAAAGGAAAAAAACGAAAGTTTTATAGTGATAGGGAGTTAAAAAGATGTCCAAAGCAAAAAGTTGAAGTGGGCAGGGAATTCATTTCAGCCCGTATTGATTGAAACAAGCGGTCGAAATCTGGGCAAGATTTCAGAGTCCCTTTGTGTGGCACTGATCTGAGATTTGAAAGAGAGCTCTGTTAAAATTTTAGTCTCAACGAATCTCGCTGAGATTAGTTAAACCACAACCCTTTTCAATAAAGTGTTAGTGTTCTCTAGTTGTAGACTGTGCTGGATGTAGTTATATTGATGGTATGCCGATAAATTTCGTTAACAATCTGGTACATCATGGTGTAGTGTAGTGTCCAGAAATCTGGGTGTAAAGCTGTTCTAGTTACAACTGTTCAAGACATAGAACACTGCTTTTTCTCCTGTAATCACTCCTGATGAAGCCCGCTTCACGAATGTGTATTGTTTCATGTCTGGCATGATCTTTTGTTTAATGGATCAGTCCGAGATGGCGGAATCGTACAGTTGTGGGCACTTGTTTAAATACCTGATGAGGCTCTAAATTCGCTCTTGAGTACATCTGGGAGGACAAATAAAGAATTCTGTAGACACGTTTTTTCCTTAGATTTCTTTATGTGTATTTGAAGTTTTGACTCCAAATAGGACAAAAAAATGTCTGAATAGATAATCAAGTCAAAAATAAATATTTTATTAATGTTTGAAATATGTGTCACGTAACACATGACAGACATATAACGTAACATGACAGACATGATAAAACGTGACATGATTAAATTACATTTCTGATGCTTAGCAATACAAATAATCTGTAAAAAATAAAATTAAACAATTCCTTAAACAATGCAAAAAAATTTTTCACTCTTACGTAGAAGAAAAAAGATTTTTAAGCTACTTTTGATGCACAAACTGATGATCGTAACACTGACAGACTCCTTTACTTAACCAGCCAAATAAACCATAAACTTTCATTATTTTATCAAAAAGATAATGTTGCCGTAAGAAATGGACATTATTCAAATTTTGATTCCTTATAGATTTTAAATTTGATTTTTTTTAAAAATAAATCTCTGCTATACGCTTTGTAACATACAAAATTCCCACCATGTCTGTCATGTTACGATATTTCTTGAGCAATACCTGTTTGAAACAAGCCAATAAAATTTATCATTCAAAGCTTATCTTTTATTCTTGGAAATTATAATACACAAGACATTATTATTTATGAAAATACTAATGAAATTTAAAAAAATAAATTATTTCATATAGATCAAACCTATATCGTAACATGTACGGATGCACGTAACCCTGACAGACTCGTTTTAAAAACTGCAAGAAAACAACTACAAAATTGTATTGTTTAAGTTATAAAGACAAATTTTGCCTTATGATACACTAATATTCTTAAATAAAAATACTTTTTGGTTTAATTCACTGAACGTATAAATCTGAATGCACCCGTTTGATTCACGTAACATGAACAGACATTCGTTTTGTCCGTCACCGTTACGATAGTATTCAGGCAATGTCTGTCAATCGGTACGTTATGTAAGAAATGTCAAAATTGAAGTGTTTAAGTAGTGATGAAGAGCGTGCAAGTTCATATTTTAAAAAAATCCAAAATACAACTACTAGCTGACAATATTTGATCATATGTGTTTAAAATCTAGGATAAAGACAACTTATATTTTCATGAACGTAACATACTTTGTGTAATTTAACACTTGACAGACAAACGTTCGTGCCTTCTAAGGCTCTTTCTGTAGCTCTTCTTATCAAAATGTAAACACATTTGCATAGAACACTGGAGAAAATTTAAATATTCATAACCTTTAAGTCAAATGTATAAGAAGAAGCATCTCCGAGCTCCATTCTTAAAATAGAACGTAACGCCCACTTGCCATGACAGACACAGGAAGCATCCCACAGATTTGTTAATTTCTAAGCACACGTGCTTTTCTGTTGAATCTGCGATCACTTAACTGATAAACAGGTAAATTTTCTATCAGTAGACAAGACAGATAAAATAGTTTGCATAAACAATGGCCCATTTTATAACAATGTACCAGGTGTATTGAGTCTGACAGACGTTACGTTCAAATATGAGAAGAAATAAATTCCAATTTTTCTTTTATTTTAGACATAATTTTACTTTAAAATACTTTTGTATGTTAATTTTATTTTTTCTAAACAGTAGTGAATGAAGATATTCTGTGTACAAGGTATTATCGCCGTATATTCGACTTCTATTTTGACATGGTTGAAAATGTCCCCCTACACATTTTTAATTCTAGTGGAATTATCAAATTCATTCCAAGAAAAAAAAAGTAAGTTGATGAAAAAATCTGCTTATTTTATCTTTTTTTTTTATATATTTGCAAAATACTTTTCAATAAAAAACATTTCTTATTTCAATTTTTTAAATAATTTATTTTATATTCCTCTTGTTAAAATCATAGGTCAAGATGTACTCAAGAGCGAATTTAGAGCCATGACTGATCACTGTCAGATGCATGTAACAGGTTGGGCACACCCCACCAAATGGTCATTTATCCCCCGTTTGGTGGACAATTTCCCATATCGGAGACAAATTTTACTGTCAGTGACCATTTGGGAGAGAAAAATGGTTGTGTTCAATTCCATAGAATGGCGTGGAATGGCGCATAATTTTAAACCATGTGGAACAAAATATAGATATTTATCGATGTTTTGAGTGAAAAAAATTGGAAATTCAACGTGTAATTTTTTGCGCAGAGTCGTTCAAAAATTTGACAAAAAATATCACATATGTAAACAAGTGCAACGTTTCTCCGTTTTTACTTAAAAAGAAAATTTCCTCCTTCTTCAACAATGCTGCACCTGTCAATCATGTTCTTTACTTTCTATTTCGTTTATCCGGGCAACCAATCAAATAATGCAAACCAATAAAAATGATGACCTTTTTTTAACCTGGTCAAAAGTCGGATTTTACTACGGAGGAACATTAGTGTCAATTTCCAATTAGAAAATCAAAAGAAAAATAAGTTTTCACCTTTATTTCGTTTTATTTTGTACGCAATATAGCTTTGTTCTCAATAAAAATAGTAAATGAAGTTAGATTATGATATAATTATTGTTTTAAAACGATGTACTTCGAACGAATACAAGAATAATTGCAAAAGTCACTTTGTAAATCTTTTATTGAAAATTATTTATCAAGTATATTAAATTCATCAGTAATATACATATTAAACCACAAAACGTCATAAGGAATATGCAACTTCATCCTAAAAGAAAAATAACAACAGATATTATGTTCAAGTATAGAAAAATTTAACTTTATAGCAATAAGTGCCCACCATACCAGTAAAGTAATGAGGAGCTCGTGTTTAACGGGATTTTATGGAAATAAATATTGACGAAGATCCAAAAAGCAATTGAAACTTAACTTATCAAGAGTTAATTAAACCACTGGATAAAATAGAATTTTTATCCTACTAGACACAATCAAATTTTTTTGGTCGAGTGATCAAGAAGTTCGGCTGTTATGGACAACTATGGGTATCGTTTTTTAGGAAGTTATGGAGAAATTGCACATGGGAAATCGACCGAACTATGTTAATTGTGCGACGAATATGTTCACTAAAATTCCCCAATGCCTAAGTAAACAGGTCTGGGCGGCCTCCGTTTTTGGAGGATAGCTAAATTCAATATGGTGGCCGAAATTTTTACTACATATGGAAACCGCGTTGCATTGTGGGATAGTTTATCCTCCGATTTCAGAGGATAACACAGGTAATTTTCAAACACCTCGTGCCTACCTTTAATCAAAAAGTGCAAGCACCAGAGTACATGCAAATAAAAGTTCAAACATTAAACTATCTATTGTATGTGGCGATTTGAGATTCTATGTCTAGATATTTCGCAATTTATTTTCAAAGTTAGCACTTTTTGCGCTCCACTATTACTGAATATTTCTTGTTATTTTGTTTTATTTTTTTATGATTTTTCTCTATTTAGACAAATAGAAAAGGACTTTAATGTTTCTTTTATATTTTCTTTTAATTCAAAAAAAGGAAACAAAAAAGGAAACGCTTTTTAAGCGTATTTAAAACGCAAAATATACTCTGCCTTATAACTTAAGCAAATAAAAGTATAAATGGATTGAAGGAATTATTATAAAAATAGATAAATAAATTGAATAGCATAAGTAAATAAAATAAATAATTTGACATGTTTACTAAGAAATTAACATATATTCATACAGCCATGTGTATACATAAACAAATAAAATATTACAAAGTGATGTGCTTAAGAATTATTAAATGAAAGAAATAATAAATTATTAAACTTAATTTTTCAAAAAAAAAATTGTTTATCAAAATTTCTAAACTGCTTATCACATAATTACGGTACTGGAAAATCAGGTGGTTATAATTAACCTCAGTCACAGGCAGGTAAGTGCAATATTTGTTTTCCAAGCTGTATACCGAATAACTAATTGACGGCAATTACAAAAATATAGTTATATTGATTTAATATCTGGAATTATCCATCATCATATGAAATTGTACCTTTTATTTGTTTTATTTCGAAATCAGCGTACGGTTCATAAATGCAAGAGTTGCTGTTATTTGTTTGGTTAAGAGTTAACTGCCCTTAGTTTTGAAAATTCCGGTAGGTGGCAAGACTGCTATCCTCTGTTTTCAGAGGATAAAATCTATCCTCCAAAAACAGAGGCCGCCTAGACCTGGTAAATGCGCTTTTGCTTTATTTTAATAAAATTTGGAATAGAATAAAGAAGTCCACCATTTGGTCAGTAAAATTCGTCTCCGATATGGGAGATTGTCCACCAAACGGGGGATAAATGACCATTTGGTGGGGTGTGCCCAACCTGTGTAACATGCCATGTTTCTACGACAACTGCTGAGTTTGATTCTTCTCTAAAGCCTAAACATATTGTGTCAAATTTTCACTACATCTAAATTTCATAATCAAACAGTACTTACATGATCCCAATACCTCCTGAATTAAATGGGAATCGGACATATTTGGCTTAAAATGATCTATTCGACTATCACTATGCTGACTTCGTACGACGGTACGTTGTTTTCCCATTTCCCGCCAAATCTGCCAACTGTCTATATATTCGCGATTTTGATCCCGATCATAAAAGCACCGAACGCGTTTTTACGTCCATATATTTTCAAAAGGCCTACATAATAATTTCTAAATTAAGAGGCATATTTTGTAATAAATATTACAGATCTTTCAAACTTTTAACATTCTGTTTCTCAAGCTCATATATTTTACATTTGTAAACAAAATCGTTTGCTGACACTGATCAATCTAACCCCCACCCCCACCCCACCCCACCCCACCCCACCCCAAAAGAGATTCTATTGAGTCTCGATGCTTCTCACAAAAAAAAAAATCAAAAAAATTTATAGCCTAATTCCTGTGATTTAATTAAATTAGCCTCCCCCTCTTCTACCCCACCAACTGAATGAATATTCGGAGTACAAGAAAAAAGAGTTTGTCATATGCATGCAAGAATGCAAAAAATAGCTTAACATTCTGAACATGGGTACATCATATTTCACCTTTGAAATGGTTTAATGAGTGGAAAAATGATCATGAAAACCGCCGATCATGTGTTTAAGAACAACCAGACAAGTTATTTATGCCTCTTGTACCAAAAAATAGCTTTGCATATTAATAAATAAATATAGAACAATAATTATAGGTCACATAAAATCATTCAACTAGGGCGCGTCAGAGTTAATTATGATATCAACCATTCGATTTTAGAAACCCTGTTATGTGTCCAGTGATATACATCAGTGCGTAAAAACGTATCTTTTCCATTCATTCATTCTTTATTTCCTCGTGATATGAGATATTTCATAGAACAAAATCAACTATACATTATACAAAATATACAAAGTAAGAAAAGAAAAAAAAAAAAAAACAGAAATGAAAAATAAATAAACAATGTTTATATACAATCGTCAGTATATTACTTCATTTTTTTTTCAATTGAGCATTTATATATTGTAATCTAAGAGTAACTTGTAGCCTAAATCAAAATTATGGAATGTAAAAATTTTTAAAATCGTGAGTACTGATACCACTGTTCTTTTGCATACATACAACGACTTCAAATGCACGTGAAGTGTCGCTGGTTTGAAGCAAAACACGTTGTTTTATTACCGCGCACAGCACTATTGCTCATAGCTAAGCGATCAGGAGCAAGTTTTGTAAATTCCCTCGATGCGGAAAAACACCCCCATAAAATTAGGCAAAGTGTATTACCTGCGGTGAAAGCTTCAGTTTTAGAAGATGTCATATACATATTTACTAGTTGTTTTGGAGTATTTAATATTTTCTCTACATTTTAAAGGTAAGTATTTAGTAAGTAAGAAAAAAAAGTTGTTTGATCATTTTTAACACTCTGATTACGTATGATTAATGCTGGATTCCTTTTGCATGGCTTGCTCTGGCATGCAGATGTTTCACTTAAAATAACCGATAAGTTAGATGTATGCAATATTAAAAAAACAAGACGTGCAGAGTAAAAACAAGAGAATATCAAACAGCATGACAGTATCTCCATGTAAAATCAAACTATAGATAGTCTTACTTAGGAAACTTTCTACAATATATATAAATCACTCGAGCAAATAATTTAAGTAATGAGAAACTCTATTAACTGTATACTGAATATTTTATACATCTAATAACTTAATGTGTAATATACTACATAATACTAATATAATATATAATATACTTTATAATATTTTTTTTTTTATAAATGTGTTTTCCCGATGCATCATTATTTTTCCCTCTTTTGCATTTTTTTTACTGTTAGTGGCAATTATTATGGTCAACTTGCCTGCGCATATCACAAAAAGATGAAATAATTATGTGCACTGAGAAATGGCGACATTCAGCATTTTTCTTATCATCCAACATCTGAAAAAATGTTACGCCATCCAAGACAAACAACTGTAATAAATGGGTCGCTGATACAGCTAGTTCACCATAATGCCGCCGCCTCACGCAGCGAGCTACTGAGTCCCTCCCAATCCGAACCAGAGGCTCACGGTTGACTCTTGCATGGTAAAAAGCAACTTATTAGAGAGAGAGAGAGAGAGAGAGTTTCTGCATCATAAGCCTTGCAGAATGTTTTTATAGCTTATTTTTCACCAGAAGGTGTGTGCGATATATTTTACATAAACAGCATACGGAGTTGGTAAACTGTCAAGTGAGTCTATAGGATACTCCCCTCTGGTACATTGTAATTCTTTGAGTTAAGTGGATTTTCTTAAGTAAATCAATTCTGTTAATGTGAAAGTTCTTCTTTAAAAAAGGACTAAACGAAATCTTCTTCCTCAGAGGACATCCATGTAACACTAAGAAATAATAATGTATTTTTTTAAAGACACCATTGTTTATTTTGAAAAGATTTTTTCCCCCAATTTTGTTTTTAAAAGAATCTTTTTCACTAAAAAAAATTAAGTTATTAATCTATACCACAATTCTTCTGACAATTAAATAAGTGGCATCCCTTAATTTTATTTCACCTCTTTACATCTACATGGAAATCATATCTATGTAATTTAACTCAGTACATTTACAATGAACCAATCCCCGTCCCTACATCTTTTTAACAGTCAGACTAACAGACAGGTACATACTTACTTTTACCAAATGTGACTCGTCGAAAGTGGATTTCTTTCATCCTGGGAATAATTTCAGCATTGGACTACTATTCTGTGTGTATTTAAACTAATATACTGTTTTTCCCCACAAATTTTATTGAAAAAAAAAATAAGTTGTCATAACATCGAATTCATTTGTAAATAAAATAAGTGGGAAAACAGTAATCTTACGAAGAAATATTTTGATAAAACATTGAATACTATATATGCATTACCATATCAACAGCCTTCTATGACTAACATAAATAATTATGAAAAAAATGAAATCTGTCTGTTTTAAGAAGCCTGGGTCTATTACATTTTTTGTTCATCAATGCTGCAGATTGTGTGTTGTACAACTCGACCGCCCGCTGGTGAAGATTAAGCTGTAATTACTTAAATACACATCACCCCGTTACTCTCTCGAGGCTGAGATGAAAAATGGTGGGAGGGGCTTTCTTTATAAATTGGCAAGAATTCATCTTCCGTATGTTTGATGCGGTGTTAATTGTGTTTATTTTTTATGTCTTTTTGTTACCCCCCCCCCTCCCCTTTCCAATGTAAGGATGATATTTTTAAGAAAAGGTGAGATTAAAATTTATTTCCAAGACACTTTTTTTCAGTTTTTCTTTGTTTTGATATTTGAAAAGAATTATCGTAGACGATTTTTTAAAAAAATGTATTTCCTTGTGGACAAGACCCATCCCACCCCACCCCCCACCCCTCCAATATACACCAGGTCTATTTTTTTCATTTGTTCTTTTTTATGCTTTTGAAAAATCCCTAGACCCAGAGTGTATATAGGGGAGGGGATCATGTCTACAAATAATTCGGCATATTTCACAAATGATTGATATTATGATAAATTTGTCTTTACAACAAAAAGGTTAACCTTTCACGAGAGTCTCAGAAATCGAGGGGGAACCCCCGTGATTTTATTTTGTGTGTTCTTACACAGCCATTCTCTTCATAACGTGATTATTTTTTTTTTTTACTGAGGGTATATTACACATGTCTACATTCTCTCTTTGGCAGACGTAACGAAATTATTGATTACGGTATCAGAAAACAGTAAAAAACAAACAAGTGAAGAGAGCCTGTCTCCATCTGTGTTTAATTATTCCGTCAGTCAACATTGTTCAGGCTCTGTAAAATCCATCTTGGAAAGTGGTGGGTATATCTATTAGTGCATTAACCTCAATGTTAGATGGATGCAGCCAGACACATCACTCCTTAGCATTAGTAAGGGGATAATCACTCCCTGTCTGTCTGTCAGTGTAGGAACACTCTTTTCAGCATAGATTATGTAGCAAAAGGAAAATTGGCTCATTGAAAGGAAACTGGAGCAAAATTATGTCACACTTGGTTTTTGACTGTCATACGATTTGTTTTACAATAAGATATTTAATTCAAAATTTTATGAATCATCTGAAGGATAAGAGAACATTTTAAGGCTAAGGTTAAAGTCTATATCACATGATTAATTTTTTTTAAGCAAAGAACTAATAAATATAAATCAATACAATGTCGGTTTCAATTCGAATTATATAATTATATGTCAAAAAAGCTGTTCAATTGCATGCAGGATATATTGTGTTCTGAAATATTTCTTAAAGCGCCACAATGCGCATCAATCGAAAACGTATGAGAAAAAAAGAATGACAAGACTTGAACAGTCTTATATGCTTATGATACAGGATAGTCATCCTTCCTCTTCCCTAACACTTCATGTAATACGTTCCGTATCAGGAAAGATATCTAATCCCAAAAATGCCTTCACAAACATTAAATTATTCTGTCAGTGTTCTTTGAACTAGTAGCTTACTTAAATTTCATTTCAGAGTACCTGTGCCAGCATAAAGTCGCCAGTTCTTGTAATGGTAATAATTTACAAATCAACTGCTTGGACAACGAAAAAATAGCAATAGAAAGAATATTTTTTGGAGCGAGGTCCACAGTTTCCCCACTCGATTGTAATGCGGAGGGAGAAACGAATCCAGCTTGTTGCCGAAGAGGATATGGGGACTGTATAGCGTACAACTCCAACACAGCAACAATAGTGACGAGACTATGCACAGGTCGTCAGACCTGCTTATATCCAACAAGATCAGTAAAAATAGACAGATGTCAGGATCCAACACTAGAGAGCTCTGACTATATGACGGTATATTATAACTGCATTCCAGGTGAGTGCATTAGAGTTTTTAACTCATGAAATGAAATTGAAAACAGGCATCGACAATTTGAGAAACCTGTCCCCAAAACATAACCATTTTTCAGAAGCTTAACGTGAATCTTAAACCTCTATTCTTCCTTGAATAGGTTTTTGCATTTGAAGGCCTATCCTTTGTTAAACAGACCCTAAAAGCAATTAAGAAACCAGAAAGGTGGTTAACAAATGGATGACAGAGAATCCATCTTGCTTATCCAAAGACATTGAACCATAAATCATGAAAATTAACACCGAGTAAACTATTGAGGAAAGTATCAAGTCTTTTCTTTGGTTTCGCAGATTAGGACCAAACAAGACAACGAGAAGAAAAATGTGAAGATAACGAAGTGTGATCAATTTAATAAATCATGTAAACTGTGAACAATCTGATAAATCATGTAAACTGATCAATCTAATAAATCATGTATACTGTGATTAATCTAATAAATTTCTGTAAACTGTGATCAATCTAATAAATCATGTAAACTGTGATCAATCTAATAAATCATGTAAACTGTGATCACTCTGATAAATCATGTAAACTGTGATCAATCTGATAAATTATGTAAACTGTGATCAATCTGATAAACCATGTAAACTGTGACCACTCTAATAAATCATGTAAACTGTGATCAACCTGATAAATTATGTAAACTGTGATCAATCTGATAAATCTTGTAAACTGTGATCACTCTGATAAATCATAAACTGTGATCAATCTAATAAATCATGTAAACTCTGATCAATTTAATAAATCATGTAAACTGTGATCAATCTAATAAATCATGTAAACTCTGATCAATTTAATAAATCATGTAAACTCTGATCAATTTAATAAATCATGTAAACTCTGATCAATCTAATAAATCATGTAAACTGTGATCAATCTGATAAATCATGTAAACTCTGATCAATTTAATAAATCATGTAAATTGTGATCAATCTGATAAATCATGTAAACAATACGAAGCATGAACAATGCAAAGCACGAATCTCTGGAAACACCAAGAGGTGAGTTAAAGAGCCTAGGATACTGTAAATAAGCATGTCGACTGGTCACACCACAGTGAGCTCTCTGTTTTGATCAGGTAAATAGAGTACTCCAAAGTCATATCAGGTGAATAGAGTACTCCAAAGTCAAATCAGGTAAATAGAGTACTCCGAAGTCAAATCAGGTAAATAGAGTACTCCGAAGTCAAACCAAGCGTAAAAGAATGCCCTTACAATTATTAGGAAACGTCAGTTTAATACGACCAAAGGATAGGTAGTACTTGCAAACATGGTAATTATAACGACCATATAATATGTAAAATGCTGACTTAAAACGAGATCTTTGAATGCCCTGTTACATCAACTTATTTTTTAGTAGCCTGCTTTGGTTTTAAAAAAAAAACAGATTGATAGTTCTCATTTAGAACATACTCTTGCTTACCTAATCAGATGGGAGACAAACTCCTATGCAGGTGATAGTGGAGTATTACTACATAAATAGGAAAAGTTGACGATGGAAAAGTTGAAGTCATATACCCCATTCATACGACACGATTTGCATACCTCAGTATATTTTACACATATGTAAATTTACTTACATGTGCAATTTTTGTCGTATGAACTGATTTGCTCATATGCAAATTATGCACAGTTGAGTAAATTTGCACCTGGTCAGGACAAGGTGTAAATTAACTTTTGCATACACGTTGTCGCAAAATATTTGCTCCCGTGTGTAAAATTTGTCGTATGAACACGCAGCAAATTTACTTATGTAATTTTTTGTCATGTGTATTGCATCAATCTCCGTTTTAAGTTTTGTTATGGTTATATTTACATTTCCAATGTCTTTGTCCGAGATAAAATTATAAATTATAAAAATACTTTATTTCTACATAAATCTACTGGTTTTAGGCGCGGTTAAAAAAAATCACGTGCGGGGCGGGACAAATAGAGACAGAAGCGGGGCTATTCGCACGGGAATTTGCAGAATCAGGAGCATGTAAATATAAGGAATAACTGTCAGATTTTTTGGATTCATGATGATGATCAATCGATTGGCTTGCATGATAATTTTATGCATAAACGCCTTCGGCGTTTATGCAAATTATCACGCAAGCCACTCGATTGATCACATCATGAATCCAAAAAATTAGACAGTTATTCCTTAAGTATATGCATTGGCATGTAAAATATCAGTCGGTAAACATGGCTGCTAGAAAGTAAAGCTCTAAAAATACGCGGATTTTCAAGGGTCAATCTTGCGCTAAGTAAACAAAAATTGAAAGTGAACTGAGTTACTGTAAGGGTAGATCTGTTGGTGTATGGCTTCAAAAGCCAAGTCTTCAAAGGGTATACCCTCTGTCGCCGAGAAGTACTACTAGCATAGTAATTTCTCCAAACTGCTTTCTCCACTCTGGAAACAAGGAACCATTATCTCCTCTGAAATAAATTTTCGAATATGTAAAAACGCGGGCATCGTGACCCTTCGTGGCAAACCTGTTTATGTCTCTAAAGATGTAGCTGTGGTTGCAAACACCCTGCAGATTCAATGAGTAGAATCCCTTCCTTTCAAGTAGACTCCGTGTGAATGCTTAGGAGCTATGATAGGAATATGCGTGCCATCAATCGCTCTACCATAGTTTAGCCCTTGATGACTTTCTTCATTCTTTCTCAGTTTTAAACTGAGGCAGGCTACTGACAGATAAGTTTATGTTACAAGGATTTCAACAACCTCGTTTCAAGTCAGCATTTGGTAAATAGATAGATTTCATATGACACATTTTCAATTCGAGTTATTTCCCTTGGTCGCCATCTTGGAGATCAAACTGGTATTTAAGCAGAAATATAAGGGCAAAAATCTTTGAATTACTAAACCTATGAACTTTGTTAACATATTTTCGTAAGAAAAACTGTGTTATCTTCGCCTCATTGTCCAGTATGAGAAGTTTAAATTGGTTGAATTATGAAGGAATCTGGCCTTGTTAGCGCCAAATATGGCGACAGACGGAAAATTACTCTTTGGTCATTATAATGATCTTATTAGCAAATATAACCTATCATTGGATCATATTTTGGCTGATTTCTTCCATACCAATTGTTAGGACTTTGTTTATACTTAATTTGACTACAGAATGATCAATACATAAGGCTTATGGCGGGTGTGACCGGTCGACAGGGAATGCTTACTCCTCCTAGGCACCTGATCCCACCACCGGAATTTCCAGGGGTCCGTGTTTATTCCCTCTTCACATATTTGTATTGTTCAAAGATTTTTGAGATCGATCACAGTTTGTTATCTTCACCCTTTTCATTCTCCTTCTGGAAAATACACATATTCTTCAAGCAGATATTCCATAGTGGCCTCGTAAACTCGATGTTTGCAATCATACATGGTAGATTTTCCAACACCAAAATGATTTCTAATCGTACGTCCCTTATTCCTCTGAAGACGCTAACCAGTAGATGGTAACAGCCACCTTCTTCTTTACATCCAACGGCTCTTCCACAGTCTTTGGGTCGGGACAAAAGCATTTCCCAACTTCTCACAAAATTTTATGAAATTTATGAAATTTTATGAAATTTTCCTTAAACAATTGAAAATTCTTATACCAATCTTCGTCCTTTAAGTCATATAGAACGGTTCTGTCGTACCAATTTTTGGATCGGATTTTTCTTCAACTTTCTTTGATGAACATCCAAAAGTTAATCCTATACCTAAATAGTAAGTTAATCCTATACCCAAATAGTAGTTTTTTCTGTGAAAATTTACAAGTCTGAAGCGGTCCATCTCCTTATTTTAAATGACAATTTGAGGATTTACTTATGGTACATAAATCTCGTCTGAACGCATAGCAAATTAACTTTTACTTATGTGTGTAAATTTACTCATATGTAAATTTGCACACATAAGCAAATTTTCGTCGTATGAATGGGGTATTAGTTTAGGCGTTTGTCGTCTGTAGTCTGTAAAAATTCCAATTATGAAACTGATGTAGCAGACTCTGTGGTGTCTTTTTTATTTCTATATCGAGTCGACCTATGTAAATGAAAGTAATTATTGTTAATTGATAAAATCTGCGATACATCTAAATGTCGAATTTAAGTCCAAATGAAGAGTTTTCTTCTTCTAATGTAAATTTTGAATAATATATGCTTCATGAGAATAGAAAAACAGGTCGGCTGACAAAGTAGTAAAATTAGTGTCCATTGGAATTCCAATAGATCATGTGAGGACATAGCCTCCAAAGACAAATATTGTCAATGAGGAACTCCAAAATCTTTCTGATATCAACTTTCAGAGTACTTGTGTGTAGAATTGGAATGATGTTAAATGAAGTAATGTAATTTGTTGAGGACCAATCATAAGACATGGATATTTTTATTAAAGAAGCAGTTGTATATATAAAATCAAAAAGCTCTGTCTTTAATTTATAGCGAGGAATAATTGTATAGAGTGCTGAAAAGTCATACATCTTGATTTTAATGATTTTGGTGGAAAATGTGATTTTCAAATTTTTTGAGTTCCTCGGAGGTATCCAGAATCCACATTTGCTTTACCCCACTTCTTAAATACCGGGGTATGCTGTAGCACAGAAGGTCTGTCGTACCTCCTCCACACAGTTAATATTTCTGTAAGGAGTAAAGACAGAGACTTGGTAAAACATTTTCTAGATCCTGCAATGTTTCTTTGTTTTTACGGATTTTTATTTTTAAAAAAGTGTGGCATTTTATATGACTTTACGGAACAGCAATCTATTGCTGCATTGAGCCCTATATACACGATGAATGAGAAAGGCTGAAGACAACGATCAGTGATAGATCTCAAGAAAACTACAGACAATGCAAATATGTGAACGGTGCATGCTCACGGAGCCTTAGCAATTTCAGAGATAGGATCAAGTGCCTAGGGGGAGTAAGCATCCCCTGTTGACCATTCACACCCTCGTGAGCCCTATGTATTGATCAAGTAGACAGGGCATTCCGTAGTCAAATTTAGTACAAAACAAAGGCCTAACAATTGGTATGAAACAAGTCAGCCAAAATACGACCCAGTGAAAGTTTAATTTGCTAATAAGGTCATTATAACGACCTTAGAAATTACGGAATGCTGAATTTAAACGAGATTGTTGAAATCCCTTCAACATCAACTTATGTGTGAAAAGCCTGCCTCGGTTTAAAAATTGAGCATACTGAGAGCATGCGCTTGAGCAGCGAATAGGTTGGGAGACTTAAACACCATATGCAGGTGATAGCGGAATATTACTTCATACCATAAATAAGGAAAGCTGGCGGTGGAAAAGCTGAAGTCATCTCGTTTGTCATACAGTTTTGTTGCTAGTTGGTCCTTAGGGATTCCAGTGTAGGAGTGGTAAATCAAATTCACTTTCCTTGACTGGAATTTTAAAAGTATTTAAAACTAAAACGTGATTTTGAAGATTTTCACCCTTTGAAAGGGAACAATGAGTATAAGATGGATTTCTAATTATTCTAAAATGCAGTTGTAATAATAAGCCTAGTCCGAAATATCTGACGTTTTCCAGGCGTTTTTCACAATTTTGATATTTTACGTGCCAGGAAACGTCAGAACTGGCGCCATTTTAAAAAGTGGAACTTGATTTTCGATATTTGCAAACCGAATTAAATGACATACTCGCAACGTATCAATAGCACAATGCATCTAGTTCTCAGAAATATCGCTTATAAGAAAATATCACACCAAATTTCGATACAGGTCTCACGAGATTTCAAAATGCATGAAGCCAAAACAAACCTCGACAGTTTGATGTTTTTTTTCAACAGACCCATTATATTATAAAGGAAAAATAAAAGCGATATTGGTAAATACTCGAAGCATTGTACTGCTGATGTGAGTAAGACAATTAATTCGGTTCGCATATATCGAAAATCGTCCCGAGAATGCCGCCTTTGGTTGGAGGCGGCGAATTCCCACTTTTCATTATGGCTCCTGTTCTGACGTTTTCCTGGCACGTCAAATATCAAAATCGTGAAAAACGCCTGGAAAACGTCAGGTATTTTGGACTATAATGAGCCTTACACATATTGTTCATTTATTTTCTCTACATTCAGTTATGAGAATAAAGTACATTGTCATTATAGTACATTGTATTTTTAATTCTTTTACCACTTCCAGATTTCTGAAAACAAGAAGGATAGATGACATACTCTCGGCCTTTTAATTGTCCAATGATTCGTTAATATCAAATTCTTTATACTTAATACAACCATTCTTCACCATAAATAAAAAATATGCTTTTTGATATCATCGACAACAGCTCCTTCTTTAAAAATGGAAATCGTGTTTGGTAATCTACAAATTTACTCTGTCAAAAATCCTTCTGATTCTACATACAAGTACTCTGAGGTTGATATCAAAAAGATGCTTGAATCCTTCATTGGCAATATTTATATACTCTGCTGGGACCAGGTCTTCCAATTATCTGTCGAATATTTGATTGGCACTAACTGTGCTCCTTTATTAGCCGACATGTTTCTATATTTCTATGAAGAATTTATTTTAAAAAAACTTCTACATGGGAAGAAGAAACCCTTTCCTTTGGCTTTCAACTCATCATTAAAATATATTGATGACCTGTATCAGTTAACACTAGTTACTTTCATTCATATGTCGACTTGATGTATCCAAGTGAATGAACTTGAAAAAAAAAGATATCACAAGGGCTGCCATATCTGATTCATACTATGGTGTTTTACTGACTATAGATCACCAGCTAACACCTAATCTGTGTAATAAATTGGATGACTTCAACTTTTTCATCGCCAGGCTACTAACAAATAAGTTGATGTTAAGGGTTTTCAACATCCTCGATTAGAATTAACGAAAATTCGAAAATTCTATGGTCGTTATAATGACCTTGCTTGCGAATACCACCTGTCGTTGTGTGACTGGTTGACAGGGGTTGCTTACTTCTCCTAGGCACCTGATCTCATATCTGGAGTTTCCAGGAGTCCGTGTTTTATGCCATGTTTATAAATTTGTATTTTTAAAAGAATTTTATGATGGATCTTCATGGGCAAAATGTCGAAATCTCCCCATTCATGCCCATCGACCAGCATACTTTCGTCAAAATTAAGGTTATGACACACTGTCTGGACATTGCCTCCTTAAGAACCTTACAGGGTATATAAACTAAGTGGTTTTTTGTATAATTAAGTGGCTTCAGAGGGACGCCCTGTACAGAACGTTCTCACTGAGCTGATGCAATGCATAACCTTTGCAAATCTGAATAAGAACCAAGACTTATCATTTTATCTAACCAGAGAAATATTTTGTTCAGTATCAAATTATTCAAAGTATTCAGTTATGGCTTCTGCTGTTTGTTCCAGAAAAACTCCTGTTATGACAATGCCATTTGTAACTTAAGCAAGAGCAACCATAATATGTATTACACGACGTCTTATTCTTTATTGGCCTCAGATATAAAAGCAATGGTTAAAGTAAGAGCTTGATACTTAATTCATACCTTTCTTATGCCTTAAAGTGAAATACAACGATTTATCAAAAATTTTAGTTGCATGCGTATTTTTGGAACCCACTGTACGTTTCATCTGAAACAAGTCACCAATTAATCATCTTTTTTCTCTGGAAAACCTAATTTTTCAGAAATCTTGTGGTCTTATCCCTCCGACTAAAGCAAGAGAAGTTATTCTACCGTCGCTCAAACAATCATATTTTTTTTTCTGCACCACTTAATGAATCACTTAGTGGCATTGCGTATTGCTTTCAGTTACTACAACAACTCTGTAATAATTACCAGACAGGGGTAAAAAGTGTATGAAGCACAAGCCTGATCAAGCACCCTGAAAGGAATATGAGGTTAAGATTAGAACACTTAGTCTTGTCAACAAATTAATGTTACCAGGACCAGTAATTCTGAAATAAAATTACAAAATAATAAAACATATGATTTCAGAGATTCACGTCATTGGATTTTGTCAAATTCCAATATGATGAGCTTAAATATAAAAGTGTGTGTTCTAAGACTCGAAATTCTCAACGTAATATGAATATATACCAGCATGTTCACATAGTATGAATAGAAAAAATAATCTACAGCAAAATATCGGTAAGGCTACACACTAAAAACGCTGTAAACAATAATTATTATATCTGAGACACAATGTATATCTTTTGTAGGTACTTCAACAGTAAATATTTGCTCAGATGACAAAATACAAGCCAAACCGCCTTTATACCTCTCAAACAAAGAATATCCTCTTCCAAGGACAGGGTTCAGCAATTGTACTTGTATGATTGTGAAGCACCCGAGTCAATCAAAGCTCACTTTGAGAGCGATAGAAATATCCTTTATAGATCCCCAGTGTTCAGTTTCGTTAACAGTAGAACACGGAGAAGATTTAGAGAATAAATTTCCATGTAATTATAAAATGGGTGGATACAGACAGTGGCTAGAGGTGACATCAGATAGTGCCACCGTCAGCCTGACCAACAAAGAGGACCAGGGCGACACCTACTTTTGGATGCAAATTGACAGTAAGACAAACAATTAAAAAGTACTTATAGAATGGTCTTTGAGAAGGTTCCACTGCGTGGATTTTTGCAATATATCAAGCACTGCTTGCATGAACTTAGTACATACTAGTATAGGCTTTAAGAAAAACTGAAAAAAAAATTCTACATTTACTTAAACGTTTTTCTATATCCATGCATTAATTTTTAAGGGGTGACGTATTTTTAAAATAAAGAATTAATGTTTAATCAATAAAGTGATATATATGATTATTAATATATATTAGGGTGTAAAAATTTTGCTATTTAATTGGAGTGCCTGATGCATAGAAAACATGAACAAATATATGTTAATTTTTATATCAATATACGTAAAATTAAGTTAGTTTGTTGTTTCATTCAACTATAAAATATTTTCTTTATAGCTTCTGATGTATCAGAAGACTTGGTCAGTTTATATTGTGGAGATGCATTAGAGAAATTTTTAAATCCTGATTCAATGACAACGGGACAAACGACTACTAATGCACCATCCGTAACAACTATGCAGTCAACACACCAGGCTACAACTATGGAATCAACGCACCATGCAACAACTATGGAATCAACGCACCATGCAACAACTATTGAATTATCAACGTCCACAATGAGAGAAACATCAAAGATGACAACAGCAGTACAAACCACTACAGAGGAGGATATGATTACAAGAAGTGGTACTTCAACTCTAAAATCCCAAACCACCAAACGCACAGCAATAAAACCCGTCACAACCCAAATCATAACAGTGAAACCTATGACAACGACAAGCACTACAATGAAACCTATGACAACGAAAAGCACTACAATGAAACCTATAACAACCAAAAGTACAATGAAACCTATGGCAACCCAAAGTACCACAACAAAACAAGAGATGATAGATAGGAATCTAAGTACAACCAATTTAACAACTGAAAATCCCACCTCTTCTTCCACATTTACCTTCCCCTCTACCACTAAAACCACCACTAAATTTGTGCCAAGAGTGTCAACCACCACCATCACAACCATAAAACCACAAACTACCACAGTCTCTATGGATAGATCTTCTAAAGGTTTAGTTATCCGTCCACAGAAAAAACGTAAGTAGTGTCAGATGATAAATTTAAGTCCATATAAACTACTGCTTTTACGGTCATTAAAATAAACTGTGAAATTTTATGTCTCTATGCGTGAAAGTAACGAGGAGTAATTATGCTTAAAAGTCCAATTTTGGAATCCACTGTACGAATTCTGAGCAGATTAAAAACGGACCTCTAAAACCATCAGAGGTGGGATCAGTTGCCATGGAGGAGTAAGCATTCCCTGTCGAGTGGTTACATCCACCATGAAAAAAAAATCCGTAGACAAAATCAATGTGTAAACAATCGATTGGTAAACAAAATAAATGTAGAAAATTTAATTTTGACATTTGAAATGTCGAAGAAAAAAAATCAAACAAAAACTAGTAATCCGTCTGTTATCTCAAGAGAATGGTTATTGAGCTTATGGCGAAGGAAATCAATAACATTTAATAATCTTTGTGTTCATGATCAATACTTGTGTTCGATACAAGGAACCAACACGTGTAAATTAGTAATCAATGGTAACAGTATGAAGCCATGCAAGTGTTCTTCGATTAGTCTCCGACACAGAATACAAGATTATAACAGACACAACCTTCGTATCATATTTTGGCGTGCAAGAATTGAATTAGCAGATGCCCGTATTTTTATGTGAGAAAAAGAACGCTTGTTGATATCGCCCTTGATGTGAAAAGACGTGGCACGTTTGTTGATGACATTGTTTCGTGCCTCGGCACATGCAGCCCTCTCCGCTCTGGCAGGTAGTAATTAGGCAATAGTATGTATGATGAAACCAATTCGTGAGTAGGCACGCATTAGAACATCAATAGCAGATAGGCCTGTCGAGGATAACTTTGACCCATCATTCATCGTATACATTTAATTACATATTTTACTACTGAAAAATGAACTTTGATCTCCGAGTTTTATTATAAACATGAACAGTTAAGAATTTTGGAGTAGTATTTTTAAGCAGTAAAAAAGAATTAAGTGTAAATGGCTTTTCCTAAATTAACTGATGGGATTTTTCTGTTCGTTTAATCTTCTAGCAACCTCCTATTGACAAAGGGGTGCTTGTCTATATAGCAATACACATGTCAATATACAGCATTCCTAACATTACGCAACTGGTGCCAGAATCTATAAGCATGTGATGTTTATCAGTATTTATCTTATAAAAAGTTCACATATGCATATTATGTCTTTGGTAAAAAGTTTGAGTCATCAACACGAAGGGATTGACTCTCTGATTCAATTCTGAGTCTTTGACACTCCATTCCTCACGGCTTATACTTCACTGCCAAAGAAATTAACCAAACCTCTTTTCCAGATTGCTTTGGCACCTGTCATGACACTTTTGGGCACGGGTTCACACTGAATTTAAAGTCCTTTATCAACCCATCGAAAGTCAAAAAATACTGCAGGTGAGTAAAAAATCACCTCCCTTCAAAATGAAAAGGTTGGGCGGGGGGGGGGGGGGGGGGGTCAAACTTCTTCTTTTCGACAAATGACAACATGAATGTATGAAGAAGACTGAATCATTTATTGTGGTCATGCATATGTCTATCTATGGCTTCAGCTATTTACAGTTTTCATATTAACCAAGTCTCGATATCCCATTTCCACAAATTGTAGTCTTGTTTTCTTAGAGTAGTCTATTTATTCTGTGTAAAATGGAAACCGCTATTATAATAATGTGATCTCATCCTGATCCCAGGGCCCATGTCATACACGAAGATACTTGTAGATTAAAACAGAAGTCGAATCTTTCTTTTCTTTAGTATTTACAATATTACAGTTATATATACATTTTTATCAGCAAAACCAAAAATATTCAACTGATTATACTCATTTTGTGGAAAAATACCCTCTACGTATTGTATGTTTATTTTACTTGTGAATATAATCATGTAATTCTGGCTAAAAAATTATATCAACCTTATTTCATGAGCCTATCTAAATTTTGGTTTTAACCTCTAAATTTTAAAGGGATTAAAAAGATGTTGTATGTAAATTGTCATTATAAATGAAATTTATAATGAATATTATAATGAGGAATATTAATATATCTATCCACATTTAAAGCTTTATACCGAAAATTTCATCTCGCTGCAGACATTTCAAATGGTTTACCTCACGTCCTGTTAATGCTAGGCATGGTCAGTTCTTCAAAGAATTACAAGATTCAGGCCAGATTTAAAAAGCCAAAACTCTAAACAGGTCTTATATATGTTTTTCTTCTACATAAGAGGTCTATTTATATATGTATATATTACACCCAAAGGAAGGACCATCAATGGTAGCTCTTATTTTAAAATTATATTGAGGAGAGTTAATCAGTTTCCCAGGGTGATTTCCTTGTACCTTACAATGCGGCTGCAAATAAGCAGGGAGGCAGAAAAATTTTTAAAGAAAGGAACGTTTTCAGAGCTTATACCATTCCCCGTATTGGCTAGGTCTCAGTCATTATAACATATTTTTTGTTCCAAAAACTCAAGAAAACCATCAAAAGAAGTGAGTGCTATCTATCAGTGTCTCTTGAGGTACCACAGAGAACACTGAAGTGTTATGGTCATGAGACCTAAGTCATTTGTAAAGGTTAACAGGGAATACTTTGAGGGATTGAAAATGTAAAGAAACTGTTTTACGTGCTTTATTTTTGGATACCATTTTGCATTATTTATCGAACGCCCGTCTTATATGACTGCTTTGATTTCAGCGAGATCCATTTAATGAATCAATTAGAAATCGCTCTAAAAACTGTGAAATTAAAACTTCTCTGGGAATTTTTTTTATGATTTAAAATTCTAATTAGGATGTATGTCATTGGAATGTTTTCTTGTCTAATTTGATGTATGCAAGAAATAAAAGATGTATATATGCAAAAAAGTTTTATAACAATGAACAAAATGATCATCCTACACTGAACGATATTTCTGTTCTTTGTTCTTTAAAGGAAAATAAACGATCTGCTTTCCTGTTTCGAATCCAAATCGGAAGAGTGTTCCTCAACAGAAAAGATGGATGCGGACAAGGAACTCAGGGCCAATGTAGCAGGACGTCAGGTCATTTGTGAGGAAAATCTAAGTGGTAAATATAACTCCTATACTGCTTTGAAAGTACCGTACCGCTTTTTTAGGGGGGGGGGGCAGGTCCTTTCAAGATGTTATTACTGCAAATCTGAAAAAGAATAACAATAGTTAGAGAGACATCATCCTACTCAGATTCTACCAAAACAATTTCAAAATAACTACAAACCACGTAAATCAATGAATGTTATTAGTTGTTGGCATTAATTTGGCGATGCATCCCAGCATGTTATAGATCAAAGACGCTATGCATGCACAGAATGCCGGAGTTTATATTTGCATTTGTCTGTTAAGCATTATTGGCTAATTACTGCATCAAATGTTTATTTGGTGATTATAATTAGGACCTTCCAATTCATTATAAGTGTCACATGTTTGTGCTTAAGCGAATTGTTTGTGACGCGTATAATCATGACCATGAAGTGGACCAGTGATAGTTTGCCTGTATTAGAATTAAATGGGCGAGAGAGACGTTTCACAGCCATGTGTGTCTCCCGAGGAATTCATGTAAAATGTACACAATTAAGAGTTAATTAAATTCGTCCAGGTGAATTTCAAGATAAGATATTCACATTACAAGTGTATTTTACATATAAAATGTGTGGAAATCTATGGCATTCAAAACACCATAACACGGACAAGGGGTCAAAAGGTTAAAGCATGCGTTTTATTTTGACGTCACAAACGTCGAACGCCGTGGAAGTGTAACGTCATAAGTGAAAATCAAAAATCACGCTCACATTGAACAGACGCTAGCGCGCTTCATGAAATAAGTCTGTGTGGTCGCCCGCGTGGCGCAGTGGTTAGAGCGTCTGCTCTAGAGTCGCGAAGTAAGGAGTTGATCCTTACGTCGCGGGTTCGAATCCCACTGTGGGACGTGGAGACAGGTCCTTCGGATGAGACCGTATAAACCGAGGTCCCGTGTCGCAGTAGGTGCTGGCACGATAAAGATCCCTCACTGCTCAATGGCCGTAAGTGCCGAGCACAGGACAAAATTTGCAGCTCTCCACCGGCAAGTGGTGGCGTCTCCATATGGGTGAAAAATTCTCGAGAGGGACGTTAAACAACATACAAACAAACAAGTCTGTGTGATTTACACACCAATAACTCACACAAAAAACATTCCTTAAACGACATGAAGTCGGTCACGTGATCAAATTCTATAACGCCCAAAGGGCGTTATAGTAGATTTGATCACGTACCGACTTCATGTCATATCCCAATGAAACTCTAAAAAATGATATTTCATTTCTTATTTTTATAGTTTACTTTTATTCGTGTTACAAGGGAAAATAGGCACTGTTTAGACTTTGTTATGGAAATGCAACATAACATACCTACGACGTCATGAGACGTCACAATCGGAACTTTCCAAATGGCTCGTGCAGTTTGCTTTCCATACACAAGAAAGTCTGATCATGTGACCAACTGTATGTCATTGAAAATTGAAAGTCATTTAATTAGTATTGTTATATAAGGAAAGACATCAGCAAATGTAAATATTTAAAAATACACCATTGTAAAGGACTTTATTATATATTTGTTCAATAATACAGGATTTTTGCATCCCTGATATGAACACAGACACGCTCCCTGTATTATACACCCTGTATCAGCACCCTTTATTTTACCCTTTATCACACCCTTTATTACACCTTTCCGGAACATCTCTGTATTTTTCATTCGGAGTATCTCGGATCTTTTTCTATTAATTGTTTATGAAGTTTATTTAAACTGTAAATTTTCATCAGATATTTTATGCTATTCAAAATAATTATTTGTTTAATTTATAATTATTTCATTTCTTATCGCTGTATGCATTGCCTTTGGAAAAAAAATAATAAGAAAGGAAATTTAACGAAAAAAAGAACTATTATTAAGAACTAATTAATTTACAGGTTTGTATATGATTTTTTGACACTATTTTCAAATATATAATAAAAACAACAATACATGGCAAAATCTGTATCACACCCCATATCAACCCTCGATCAATATCAGCCCTCTGGCCTTCGGCCCTCGGGCTGATATTGGAGTCTCGGGTTGATATGGGGTGTGATACAGATTTTGCCATGTATTATTCTCTATATATTCTATAATGACTAGGGATGTCAATTTTGTCAATAATTCATATTCGAATATTCAATGTAAGTATTCAAATATATTCGAATATTCGATAAAATAAATAAATCTGTTTTATTTTAAATATGCATCATCCTACTCTCATGAAAGGTTTAGCGTAGGTACACTTATATTGGAAGTAAAATTGTATGAAGACTTTTGTAGGTATACAATAAGAAAATCTATTTGATATTTGTCAATGTTTAAAAAAAATAATTGAAATAAAGGTAGAAAAGTATAATTTTAACAAATGAAACGTGTATTTATAGTAGCTCCAACTGAGGAACCAGTCGTCTTACAAAAGGCGTAACGGTATACTGTTCAGATTTCAATACGTGTAATAAATTACAATTATCTCCCTAATAAGAGATATGATTATAATCTTTGATACAATGTAAACAAATATTTCAATAGACAATTTTCCTAGCTATAGGTAATTAACTAATGAATATAAAATTCAGGATTATGTACAACCCGAGATAATCAAGTAATTTACACATTTTTACTGAAATTAAGCCCTTTACAGTATTAATTACAGATTAATTCTATCTGACATTCATTCAATGATCCATTAATTTTATTTTGATAAGTATACTCTTTACGCCTTTTAAACATTCTTAGATTTCATTTTTGTCCTCGATTCTAGATCCAATCGTATCTAACTAATAAAAACTATGAAAGTACGTTTTGTATTATACATAAAGCATTTTTGTACAATTCTTTAACACCTTACTCAAAACAAAATACATGTAATTTAGTAAAGCTATAAGATAAGAAAGTAGTGAAAGAAATCAGGCGATCGAAATTGATCGCTAGTAAACTAAACAGGGATAATTCCAGCACTGTTCTAATCAAATAATCAAAATTTATTAATCACAGTACTTCTTTTTATGAAATCTGAAAAACACCGAATATTCGAATCTTAAATTCATATTCGAATATCAACTCATCGAATGAATATTCGAATGTTAGAATATTCGTTGCCATCCCTAATAATGACCAATATTCCCCCCCCCCTTAAAATTTGATGGAGAAATCTATAATTATGTTATGAAGCAGGGGGATATCTACAAACTTCAAAGCATTTAATATTTCCATCAGCCATGATGCTAGATATGACGTCAGGAAAATGACTTAAATTCATGATTTATGCAGAAAAGGTGCATGTTACGTCGATATTTGAGTAAAACTCACCTAGCGCAGGTCTGCTCCAACTCAATGTTTTTGTATAATGTGAAGAATGTTAATATCAATGAAATATGTGAATATTGTTTTGGAGCAGGTCTGTGCTCTTTAAATTTTGTAGTAAAAATCGAACAAATTTTGTCTGAAAAGTAATACAAAATCCAAATAGTTTGTGACGTCATAGAAACAAAAACTGTCAATAACCTACTACGAAACTATATTTTTTATTTCATACAGTATATACAATTCAGCACATTTCAAAAAAAAAATTCAATATTTGACTTCTCTGAGGGCAAAAATATGCATATACTGCATATAGCTCTTGTATGTGAAGATTTGTGCATGATTTTGACGTGAAAAACATTCCATGTGCAAAACGTTCTACATGAAGTTAAGCTGAGGCTCATTAGGTCGTATTGTATAATATAAACATGAATACTTCCATGTTGTTTAATTATGCAAATCTTTGAATCAGTGCGTGGGCACTTAATTCCATGACATTATAATGGTTGAGTAAGACGTGTACGCTATATAGATGGTACTGGAGGAGACAAGTACTCGAAAAACATCCTTATAGTTGGTTAAATTTACCCCTCGCTGAATTTCATGTTTGTAGTGTTTTGTGTTTTGCAGAGGTCCAGTATATGACAGATTGCTACAATAGGAAGAATTTCAGACGCGAACTGTCATCTTGTGATCAATTGCTTTACCCTTTTGAAAATGTAGACAAGACTGAAATATGCAAGTAAGTTTAAACTGATTACAAGCGCACTTGTCTTATCGAACAAGCTAAAAAAGAAGCAAAATTTAAAAAGCAAACAGAGAAAAACCACACAAAAAATTGACAAAGAAGTAGGAATTGTCATGTTTGAAGAATTTTTTTAAAACATAACCAAAAGATTTCTCAACAATAACAACAACAACAAGAAAACGAAAGTAAAACATTTTTAAAGACTATTTCAAGTTACTAGTATTTTATATGGACTACAAATTATAAAATAAAGTGATAAAAACTATAAAAGTTTGTTCAACCCATCGGTCCCATGGCACGAATGTGCACAGAAATGTTCATATTTTTACATTGCACGCTACTAAATAGAAATATTTTTTTAAATTTGAAAACTAAAAGGTTGCTGAAATTCTTAGTTCTGTGTTTGGGTTCAGTTCTTTTTTGGGCTAAAGACTATTTGCATCACTAAAAATTCAAATATATAAACTTACGAATTTTTTTTTATTTTGGCATCAATTTTTTAATAGCGTACTAAGACCTCTCTGGTTGGATAAATATCAATACTATTCATAAAAAAAAAGAAAATACATCTTATGGAAGCACCTTGTTTAATGGTTTAACTTATATTTCAAATCATAACACAGGACTATAAAACATTATTTAAATGAATATATAAATTGTTAATATTTTATCTTATATACACTAATTATCAAAACTTTTCCAATATTTTATATTCTTTTGAAAATGTACTTTGAGACTACCTTTTAAAGATTGAAGAAGGAATTCGTAGACTGTGTGAGAGATGTTGTAGATGACTGTAATGATACAACTGTATCCACCTTCATGTATAATGTAACCAATAGATTGTTTGATTTCCTGTACAAAACTGAGGACTGTGACACAGGTATATGTATTTGGTAACTTCCAAAAACAATTCATTTTTTCTCGGACTCCTCTTTTTCTCCCTTGAATCACGTGATCCGAGTATTCTTGATAGTAAATAATGTCTTGAATATGTGAATGACTTTCTTGCAGAATCAGTCCAAGGTGACAAGGAACCAGAAGTTATGGTGACCGAGAAACCGACACCAGAACCGGAAGTAGACGACGGAGCCAATAAATCAACACAACAACCAGTCGTACCAGAAAAAAAGGCAGGAGATGACAAGAGAAATGCAGCCCCGAGAGTCCAAGGAATCCCTTATCCTTTCAATATACTTCTAATTGCTAATTTAATGATTTTTCTGTCGTGATGTGTTATGTTGACGAAGTGTTTTTGGAATAATCGCGAAAAGTCTATGGAGTCATTTTTCTACTTTGATGTATGGTATAGACAAGTTAATGTAATAATGGTAGTTAAACTTAGAACTTGATGCATCATCTCTCAGATGAATTTGGTAGTGTTGAGATGTAGTAAACACAAAACATGAAATCTCAGGAACCATTTTTGTTATATAGCTGTTTATAGATTGAAAGGAATACCATAGATAATAAATTATTAATGAGTACATTTATTTTACTTTTATTTACACCAAGTCTCTTAAATCAATTACCTAGAAAGATCTCAAAAGGTCTATTGTTCCATTTACAGTACGAAGTTACTCAAACATCGAGCATAAGAATTCTCAAATTGAGGATCAAGCCCTCTTTGCTTAAAATTGTTTATTTTCACATGGCCGTGATTGTGAATAAAATGTATTTCAATGCACATGTTTATGGTTTCTCTAGAATGTAATATTTGATTTCATAGATATTTTTTATAGTAAATGTTCCTAAGTTTAAGTACGTTTTTTGATAAATGAGAGAGAGAGGGGGGGGGGGGAGAGATTATATTCCTACAAATGTTAACATGAGAAGAATAATTTAATTGGTAATTTTTGGGGTATTAAGCAATCTGTGTTAATTCTGTGTTAGACACAAGCGTATGTTTGTACTTTGGAGGCCATTTTGTATTTGATAAGGATATGTCATTCAAAAACATTATAGTTAAGGAATAGTTTTTCACCTTTAGTTCTCAAACTCCCAAAAAGTCTCTATTTTGAAGTTATTTTACTACTGATAAAGATCACAGTAATTTTCAAAGAGTATATTGAGATAGGATCTTATTCATACATGTATGATTATTTTACATACCATCAACATACATATCATCCATTATTGTACTATACTAATCTATTCTCTTGTTGTAATTAAACAGTTAATTTTTTTTATCAATATTTATTTTTTGCAATTTTCATAAAATATATAAAATTCCAGATTTTGTATAAATAATAAAAAACAGACACTTTTTTAAATAATAAACACAGACAAAAATTACTTCTTATTTGGTTTTTGATATAATTGGTAATGGGTGAAATTACATTTCTTTCTGAATTTTTAATGTTGTTACTGTAATTAGAATCCTTATCATTTAAAGTGCCTGGAGTGGCTGGAGTTAAGTGTAGAAATGCATTTTATGCTACATAGAAGAGTTATTAGATGTTATAAATTTGATATTTGTGAAATATCTTCCTATATAAATGTATGGTGAGTATATTTGATAATGTTTATTGTGCCTGTATAATTTGAGTGCTTGAGTGATGACGTTCCTATGTTCTCGTAGTTATCATATAACTGATTAGATCCCAGTTATTTTCTTACCACCTGTATGTATAAACCGTCATATAATGTCAGAAAACCTGTTTTAAAATATCTATGTTACTTTTCCCTTGGAATGATGATGTTATCTTTTTTTTAATACATTTGAACATGACAATAAATGATGTAATCTTTGTATCATTTTGTTATATTTATAAATCACCATAATGTATAAGAAAAACTTGCGAGAATTCATTACAAATTAAATAGACTGAATGGAGGAATTGTTATGCTCCTTTATACACATTAACTATTAATCTGATTAAATGTTTATAAACAATTTTCAGATAAGGATGGGAACAAGAACTAGTAATAACCTTTCCTTTAAACTCTGTAATAGCTATACATATACACCACTCTCCATTCGATTTTGCCAAGAGCAAAAACAAGAATAGAAAATTTATAGTGCTTGTTTAAAGTCATTGTTTCGCGAATTCTATGGTTGTTATAATGACGTTGTTTGCAAAATCTAATTAACTTTGGGTCGTATTTTGACCGACATGTTTCCCCCCATCTGTTGTTTTTTTTGCCATTTTAACTACGGAATACTTATGTATATGATCAATAATCACTGCGAGTATGACCGGTCGACAGGGGATGCTTACTCCTCCTAGGCACCGGATCCCACCTCTAGTGTTTCCAGATGTCTCTGTTTTCTTAATATTCGTATTTTTTAATGGATTTATGAGATTGATCACTGTTTATTTATTTTCACCTCTTACAATCCTAAAAGTTTGCCACCTTATCAATGTTGTTAAAATATTCAAACTGTTTTTGGTATGGAGGCATTTTATTATTAATTCGCTACACCCCCAAACCGAAACAAATGAATGAGGAAGATAGTATACTTTCTTAATAGATAAATGGTCATGTTTGCCTCATAAAATTCAGCAATATCTAATTGCATCACAAACAATTTCTATTTCGGTTGAAAACATAATTATAGAAATGATGTGAACGCGATCAATTGAAGAATATACCCATGCTAGGGAACTAAAAATAGAAAAAGTGATTTACAACAAGGCCTTTCAAAAGAATTTTAGCAATTGCAATTGATATAAGAATTATTGAACTGGAAAAGAAACATTTTTACTAAAGAAAACATTAGTTTCTTAAAGTAACAGTCTTAATTTATCACTGCAATTTTCTTGAATTAAAAGGACAATTCAGTTATTCGCCATGTATATGTTGGTAAACTTTTTCCAAGTACCATGAGATTTGGTGCCGAAAGAAGCGAGGGACCAAATCCTATGGCGAAGGAAAAGTTAATTAACATACCTAATACATGTTTTACGCGAGAACTTTAACCCTTTGTGTCTCTATTTTTTTTTATTGGACTCTAGTGTAACTCTTGTTATTAAATCAAGAAAATGATGATTTAATCCCGACTGATGCTTTTTTGTATAGGCCCAAATATGATAATTATACCCTCAAAAGTATATATTTAGCTGTCTGAAACAGCTATGCAGGTCAAAGAAGTGACAAAATTTATTCTTTACTTTACATAAAATATATGAAATAATAATAGTATGGAGATAACGAATATGATTATACCTCGTCGATATATCTAAGTGTAGAGTCGATAACCACACCAAGTGTTTTCTTCTCATGTATAATATTTTTAATTAAAAAAACTGCTTCATATGAATACAAAAATAGGTCGCAATTGGTACCCATGGGAATTTCGACAGATTTTTGGAAGACCTGGTTTCCAAAACCTACTCATATATTGTCAATCAGAAACTCAAGTATCTTTTAATATCAACTACAGAGTACTTGTGTGTACATATGGAAAGTTTTCTCAATAAAATAATGTTGCAAGTGACCAATGGCAAGGTAAGTAAATTAACGAGGTCCATTTTTATTGAATAAGAAGCTGTTAATGATGTCAAAAAGCCTGGACTTCAATTTTGTGGTTACATAAAGTGTTGAAAACGTTTTGATGCTATTGATTTTGCTAATAAATGTTGATTTCAAATTTTCTTAAAGTTCCTTAGAATTTCTAAGTATCCACATATGATTTACACCACTTCTCAAATATATTGTTGAACAGTACTTCTGAAGTTTCTCCTTCACTGCTGTTAATATTTTAGTGAGGAGTAAAGAGGCTTGATAGAACATTTACTTGAACCCCCTATGAGTCTTTGTTTGTAGAGATTTTTATGAAGTTTAGGAATCCAGTATAGGTATGGTAATTAAATTATCTGTTAAAAAAGAAAGAAAAAATCGGCCGAAATATGGAACTTGAAACGTCATTTTCCACCCGAATTTGGTCCCTAAGGTGAAAATGAATATTCCGAAACCTTACAGCATATCTGCAGGACACCTCTATCCATTTGCAAAAGATAAATGAAATGGCTACTGAGTAAATTGTTTGAAAAGTTATGGGAACATAGTTTTTAATAAAATGAAAAAAAAATTTCGACACCCCATTTGCCTCCCCCCGGGGTGACAATGGAAATTCCAAATTTGTCATTGCACATATAAAGAAGACACCTAATCATCTTGCAAATAATGAGATGGCTGCTATGTAAAATGTTTGAGAAGTTCCTTGTAATTAAAAATAAAAATAAAGTTTTTCAAACCCATTTGAACCCGAAATTGAAAATTAAAATTTTGAAATCTTGATACACAGTTGCAAAACATTCCCAGTCATCTTGCAAGAGATAGTATGGCTACTGCGTAAAATGAAAGGTTCTATGAAATGGCTTTTTGTAAAATAAAAAAAAAAATCATTTTTCGACCCCCATCTGGTCACCAGGGTGAAAATTAAAATTCCAAAATATTATTGCATTTTTACAGGACACCGCCAATTACATTCCAAAAGATGAATTGGTTACTGGGTAAAATGTATGAGGAGTTTTGGAACCAGATTTCTGTGAAAACGTCGTTTTTCAACTCCCATTTGGCCACCTGAGTGAAAATGAAAACTCTGGAACATTATTGCACATTTACAGGTCAGTACCTATCATATTCCAAAAGATGAATAGGTTACTGCTTCAAATTGAGGGACAGGAAGAAAAAAGTGCACACAATGGCATAGTCACTCAACCATGAAGCCTGGACTTGGAGTGTACCATGTTAAAAGGTATTAGCAAAAAGCCCTGTGTTCAAGGTATGCGAAACAAGTAACCCTGTACTAAATATTGTTTAAGGTCTAATCTTTCTGCATCATGCGAAACTGATTTGTTTATTTTGTATTTTGATACAGAAAAAACCCATGGCAAGTAATTACCAGCTAACTTGACTAAATAGGACTTTAGCCTCTGTATCATTACACACTGATAGTCTCTCTCTCTCTCTCTCTCTCTCTCTCTGTGGCAACCTTGACTATTCGTTCGTTTTTGTTTGCCTGTTTATTGGTGCAGCTGTTCTCTTTTGTTGCTGCTTTCTTTTAATCAATCTATCCAGTGTAAAATATCTCTACTTTCTGGTTAAGATTGTTTAGTTTAGATTGTCAATTCGATGTTCTTTTGGATGTTTCTCATAATTATTACAGTTCGGTCTGATCAGGGCTTTCAGATCCAAAAGCATTGGTATCGGTTTCTCAACTTCCAAAAGAAACAATTACTCACTTTCATAACTTTTGAATAATTCCTTCTGGTTGATTGCAGTCATTTTCCGAATGGTTCAATGAATTTTATGCCGATAAAATGATGTACTGGTCTTCCTTTGAATATTGAATCTATTTTACGACTTTGTCCATGTTTAAAGATATTTTTCCTCCTTTGCATTTTTGATTAATATTATTTTTACATGTACATCCATATTAGTTAGCACAATACTCCTCCGTGGCACCTGATCCCACCTTTGATGTCTTAGAGGTCCGTGTTTGCTCTACTCCTATTTTGTAATGTTTAATGGACTTTTGAGCTCGAATACTGTTCGTTATCTCTACATATTTCATGCATATATCAGTCATTCTACAATGAAAGGACCAATTCAGCGTATAAAACACGAAAAAAAATGTTTCAGATAACAAAATGAACATATTAATTCTCTAAAAGACATATCAGTGAACTTGAAAAAAAGAATTGTCCACAAATCTGGTATTTTTAACCTTTTCTAATATACGAGGGGTGATCAAAAAGTTCGCGAATTGAATTACTTCTTTTAAATGAAATAAAATGAGGTTTCAGTGTTCATTATTTTTTCAAGTAGTAATTTCCGATTTTAATGCACATCTGCCATTGTTCTGCCCATGCGCGAATCACGTGATCCATGCGGTCACGTGACATGATTCGTAGTGGTCTGTTCACGGGAACTAAGAGGTTTTTCCGAGTCCTACATTTCTTATCATGCAGGTAATTTTTTATAACAAGAACAGACCATCTGTCAGAAATGGCCAAATCTCGGCAATAGGATGGTTGGATAAGGATATCCCTTCCCAGAATTAGCATGATGACCATCACAACCCGAGTCCTCTGTCTCGAGAGCGTCGTTTATCCAATGTGGAAAAAATAAGGGGGCCTTCTTTTTTTTTCATATCTCATATGTTTTAAGTCTAAAATAAACGATATTTTAGGGATGTAATAATTATATCATTGGTCAGATATTCAACTTTTTTTCTTACTGTTACTTGGCGATCTTTCAAAACAAATTGCTCAACTAAGGGCACATCTTTTTACCCGCTTGCTTGCTCTGGGCAACAGAACAAACATCATTTTTAACCATCCCCCTGCCTTCACTTGAACTTTCAATCCAATTAATTATTGAACTTCTGGTAAGTCTTTTGTCTTCATAAACCTTGTACAAATTATCATAATCTACTGCAAAGGAATTTCCGAGATATACTTTAAACTTTACAGCCGTTCATTGCTCGAGTACGACTGAGTCAACCGTTTTTTTGTCAAAAGTGACCTATATACTGACATCATTTTCACATTGTGACTTCACAAACACGGAGCAAAACATTATTTAACATCTGCTATTTATAGAACATGTGTATGACTATATGTGTGCCAAATTTCATTCTGATTTGAATTGTGGTTTTCTAAATATATAGATAGTTCGCGAACTTTTTGATCACCTCTCGTACCATTGATTTTAAGGTAATGTTATGTTATGGAACTTGATTAAGTCTTATTAATTTTTAAATAAACCTGAATTTGACCACTTTTTCGTTTTCTGATGTTCAG